GTTAATTATTTTTTGCCACTGTATGATTTCTAAATAGATTCTGAAATATTTTTGGAAGCAGGATTTTGGTGCTATTCCATATTACTGTTTTTTACCAAAAGAAACATATTTTAAATGGGAGTTGTCTTTAACTGTTTTGAAGATTATTAAGGTTTTTAATGTGGCCCAAGTATAAAGAGGGGAAAGAGAAGAAATACCGAGAGATGGTAAATGCCTGCTTTGTAAATACATTTCTCCCTCTTTCTTTTTCTGACCTAGAGACCATAAAAACCGACTTCTATTTCAAATTGATGATAAGATTTCCTGCACGCGGAATGCATATCTCAAGGATCTCTTGCCAGACCGTGGTTTCAGAGAGGATCCTAATTGCCATGAATGCAAAAGTGGAGAAACCACCCTCACTGCAGAGACTGCTGAGGAGGGCAAACGACTATGCAATGGAGATATATTTTTCATAACAAGGGTAAGCCCTTGCTGCAAGAACTTGCACAAAAAACCCCAGTGGTAACTGATTCAGTCCTTGTTGAATGCCCAGAACAAAACAATAAACACTTTATAATTTTAGTGCATAATGTATACTTAGTTCTTCCGCTAAACTATCATGTGAAAGGCAAGAAAGAGGCAGACTCACAGTAGAGAATTAAAAAAAAAAAAAACTCTGGGCGTTTCTGTAAAATGCGTTTCAGTTGGTCTGCTTGTGTCCAGTGTAAATACATTCTGTAAATACTCAAATGTGTTGTAATTGAAATGGGTAATGTTTTGGATATAAGTAGAAACATAGTCTTCAGTAAAGAATAAAGCTAATGTTACAGCTTGAGCTCTCCCCTGGCAGAAAACTAAGCTGACCAAAAAATACAGCAAAAAACCCTCTGTATTTTTCTGCTGGGTTCAGTGAGTGGAAGTATCAATATTTGTGCATGGCAAAGGGGAACCATACAGGGTTGATGGGAGAAAGTAGGCTCTTCTCTGTGGCGACAATTGTTAAACCGCCTCACTGGTGTATTTCACTGTACCCTAGAATAATCTAAGTTTTCTGGGAGTTAAAACTGCCTTTCTCAGCATTTTTCGTACTAAACAAAAGGAGTTAGGGTAGGCCCTGTACAGTGAAACTATTTTCCTTGAAGGTGGTCAGTGAAAGATAGCACTCTTTGGGGTTTAGTGTCTTCTGAAACGATTTCACTTGGTTGACATTGCAGCTGTTGTAATTTCAGTGAAAGCTAGAATATGGACACACACAGATGTATAGACATTGATCAAACTGCTGATACAAGCTTACTGCTGAGTCTTCTTGTGCTATTTCTTTAGGATGTAGAAATTGATAAACAGCGCTTATTGACCATCAGCAGCACGTACGGCTCCACATTCACTGTGAAGTATAAGGCACTGAAGAAGCTATGTCATATAAAACACGCATGGGCCAGAACTATTCACACATTTCAGGTAAAAATAAAGAAGCTATGAGCTGCTAAAACTTTCTCATGGCTTTATCTTGCTAATGCACTGTGTTTTCATGTGAAAGAGTCAAACTAAAGTTCCTTGAATGCAGGATAGAAAATATTCTTGAGAGTGTCCCCAGTTGTCTCCAACTTCCTTGTTCTTGTAAGTCTTTTTTTTTTTTTAACTACTTACTGGAGATCTTACTTTGATAAGGTGTTCTTAAACATGTTTCAGGGTTCTGAGGAAAAAACTGTTGTCTACGTGGTTGGCAATCCCGGCCGTCAGCACTGGCAGCATGTGTACACAGCCGTGACCAGAGGACGCTGCCGTGTCTATGTTATAGCTGAAGAGATGCACCTCAGCAAAGCAGTCACTAACAAGAACGTGCCCAGAAAAACTCGCTTACAGAGATTTTTGAGAGAGGCAATCTCAGAAACAAGCTACTGTCCCAAACAAACTTCCTCTCCCCTGACAAAGAGCTGGCAAAGTCAAGAGCTTGAGACTGGCTCTGTGTCCGTAACTCAAGGTGCTCCTGACCCATCCGAACCTCCAGCTGACTTGATTAAACAGGAAAGGTCAGTGGTTCTCAATAAAGAAGAGCAGACGGGCAATTTGCAGCAAAATCCATGTAAAAGACAACAAACTCTTGCAGAGAATTCTGAGGATGCTGTGAAAAAACCCTCTGTAAGTATCATCTCCTTACTGAGAAAGCTTAAAACAATCTTTTGCACTCTCTTTTACCACCGCAAGTCACCTGGATACTGTTGGGATTGTGTTGTTATTATTTATTTAATAATTTTCAAGATGACCAGTAGTGAAGCAGTCAAGTTTGGCAGATGTTTTCCCCAGAGTAAGATATGACTAATAGGGAAAAATAAGTTACAATGTAAATAGCAGTAAATTTACACATCTTGTTACTCATTGGAGTGATCTGTTGGCTAGCTTAGCCTATATTAGCTTACTCTTTGTGTACAGAAGTCAGTTTTCAGCAGCTGACCTGCTGTGAAAGATTTATATAAAATTTAATCCTTGAATTTGATTTTTATACAGTTAAACATGCTTAACAGATGCTTTTTTCATTATAGCTAATTTCTGAGCCCTGTCATGGGAAAAGAGCTTTTTTTGAAGATATTACTGTATTTTAGTTCCGATTCAAATGCTGGTAACATTTTTTGTTTTGTTTTGACAGGCAACAGTACAAGAGTCCCCACTTGGGTCTTCCAGACTTAAGAATCTAACTTTGGGACAACCAACTCCTAGGAAGCTTTTCAAAAGCTAACAAACAATTAACTGTCCTCGCTATGAACCTTTCTTGAACCTGTTTCGTTCAAGATTTTTGGAACAGAGAAGCTGGGTATGCAAATGATTTTCAAAGGCTTTCCTGTATTTCCATGTTCTATGAAGAACAGCTTGTTTTAAAGTGAGCCTTTTATATTTTCAGTGATCTGTTTTTAGTAGGAGATTCCTTGGTGTGTCAGTCATCAAAAATCATATCATCATTCTTTTGTTTTGGTGAAGAATGAACTTACAGGGTTTAGAGGATCCAGACGTTCCCTTAAAAAATACATGGGGATTTCTAGGTTTAAAGACTGTAGCCATCCGAACCAAGATTTATCCATTGCCTAACGCTACAGAATTGATGAGAAGCTGTTACTGATGTGCCAAAACTGCAGCTTGCTCTTGAGTCAAAAAATAGTTTACAAAGGGGACTTCAGGTTTTCTAATGTAGCAGAATTACAGGCATGAAGCTTTGATGGATTATGGATTTTGATCTTGTTATAAACAGAACAAAAAAGTTGCAATCAGTGACAGAGAAAATTTTTCCCACTTTGTGCTCGAAGAGATGTAGAACTTGCCATTGCTGCTTTAGCTAATCGTTCTATGCTCATAATGATCTTGGTAAGAAAAGCAAAATTCCACGTCAGAGTTCAAATAACATTCCACTTTCACCCTTTTTTTGTGTACTATGTGACTTGCCGCATTGTAATTTTTGAGACTAATAAGCTGAATGCTTAATCAAACATCAGACAAATTGTACTAAAATTTGGACAGCTTGCTTACTTTTAACTTTTTTTTTTTGCGTATATGGCAGGAAAAAGTGTACCACAAATATAAACATCGTATTTTTTTCTAAAAATGTGGAAAAAAAATGTGGAAAAAAATGTGGAAAAAATATAAAGTAGAAAAATTGTCTTTAAGTCACTGTTTATTTCAATTTATACAGTTTTTCCATACAAATATTTGCAACAGTTTGAATTTCAAAAAACATAACATAAGACGATAAATATCATGCTATTAAAGTATTAAATTTGTACAAAAATACTTTACAGTTTAATACTTATTTGTTACAAATAAAAATACATATTTAAGTGACTCATGAACTTTTTTTTTTTTTTTTTTTACATGATTCAGCATTGGGTGTCATTCTGACCTTTTCTGGCAGTGCTGAAATAGAAATCAGAGATACTTGTGTGTGCAGGGCAGGTGAGCTTGTTCATGTATTGGAAACAGCAACAGGGATACAGTTAGACAGTTTAAATTGACCAGAAACAACTCTGTAAGGTGATTGCTTAGATGTGGAGACTCTACAAATGTACAAATCCAGTATCTTTTATATTCACCAATAACAAGAATTACCAATAACAACTTGAAGATCGGAATAAACCAAAGCAGCTGCTGGTGAGCATATAAAGCAACTGGCAGTATTTTATTGCTTGGGGGGAGAGGGGAGAGGAGAGAATTTGTGATGTGTTTGTAAAATATATTTACAATTTTAAATTCTAAAAATGTGTTGCAGGGGGTAATGTTTATCATCAAGAAGGCTAAAACCAAAGCATATTAAATAGGACTTTTGTCCCTTCAAGAAATTGACTTAAAAAGCTCACATGTGACAATACAAGGTTACAGGTTTTTGGATCATTAAAGAGCTTTTGTTTCAATCTTCCACTGATCTAATTTTAAAAAAGCCATTTTCTTTTAAAACCTTTCTAATTTGTCTGAACTCATTTCAGTTCTACTCGTCAGTAATCCTCCTTCAGAGGTTTTATCCCACTAAAAAAGTCTCTGCTTAAAAATCCCCACAGGTTGCAAGACATATCGTTAAATATTTCATTGCATAGGGAATAACACATGTTCTAACAAAATTTGCCAAAGTGGGGGAGTAATGTTCACTGCATACTGCAGCTGCCTACAAGGATTTTGTTAAAACATCTAAACCGTGCTTTGTCTGAAGAGCACACCCTTCTTGCCAGCAGACTAAAGGTCCCCAAAACCCCAGATCTAGCCATTTAACAAGAAAACCTGGTGCAGCGTACCACTCTTCCTTGTCCATCAGACAGCGCCTTTCTGACAAAATGTTTTTTAGAAACCATGTAACCTGGACACCACTGTTAGCAGAGGCTAACTGCATGCTTTTCCCTCAAACAGCAGCTGCTGATGAAGGGAGAGGAATATTTCACTCATGTTTAAAACATCTCCCCAGTTTCTTATTTGGGGGAAAAAGGCCCTTATGATTTTTCGTACTGTGGCTAATGCTAGCTTGTTTAGAATGGAATGACTTGACTTAATGTAAGAATAAAACTTTTTCAAAAGTAACCATGATTTAGTATAAGCCTTGAGACAGACAGCCTGACCTCCTGTGCTTTTTAGTGCTATATAGCATCTGAGCCTCAATCTCAGAGAATTCTTAAAGGGATTTAGCACCATAATTGTCTTTCGTTACCAAATGTCCCACTAAAATGATTTTCTGCTATAATGTGTTTGTAGGATCCCGTGTCTCTGTATTCACATTAGCGTGTCCACTCTGTTGGAGGAAGGCATTATTCTGATCACTCCACTCCCCGCTTGCTGAAGTCTGTTGTTCTGAGCTCCCTTTCTGAGATGCCAGTGGGTTCCTGCTAATAACCAGTTCCAGCTTATTGCCAGATTCTGCGATGAGGGGCACAACTAGGCAGCAGTCAAAGTCTCTGGTGCGAACATGGTTTATCTGAATGATTAGAAGATTGATTTTTGTTACCATTTTAGGAAACAGAAATGAGATCACAAGAGAAACAGAGTTATCCTTGAGACTATGGAACCTGATGTAAATATTCCCGGTAGAGAATCGCCCAATACAAGACTATTTAACAACCATGGCGTCTGGTGTGAAGACACCAGTTAAGTTTTCCACTCACCCTTTAGCAGAATGTAGCTAAAGTGGGTGTATTTGCACTGGCGATAGCTGTTGGCAGCTGTCACAATGCCCACTCCATAAATGACATTTAACAGTACATAGTTACTCTCTCTCATGGTCATCAATTTAAATGCAATAGATCACATGTAAAATTTCAATTCAGTTCAGGTCTTCTCTGGTTTTAATTAATATATAAAGTATTTTATTGGGCTAGTTTAGACAAACTAAAAAAAAATTTAGTTTTCCCACCACCATCCAACTTGGCACTGTGGGAAGTATGGCGCTCAGTGAGAATTAGATTATTACAACTATGTCAATCAACAACTTGGATTAAGCTCAGAAACAATTCCCAAGTCTGTATCACAAACAGCAAAAATTACAAATCTGTCTGGATATGCCTTAGGAAATTCCAGCTTTCCAGTGAGCATCTGTATGTCTCCTTTGGAGTTCTGAAATACCTAACATTCTGAAAGAATCTGTTTCTTTAAATATGATTTTATGGAAAAATCTAGCCTTAGTGCCACTGCATAAAAGCCCAAGTCACCATGAAGCACAGCCTTTTCTTACTGAGGGTCTCAGTGATTTATTTGGCCTGTGGTGCAGAGGAATTACAATTATTTGTCCTTCTTCCCATCCCCCTACACATAACCTTTCCCAGCAAAAATAGAAAAGAACAGTACTGCCCATAATTTAAAATATAATAAGCAATATAGATAACAAGTTGTTCCAAATAAGTGATGTAAACCCTTTATGCAATTCTACAATCAGACCTGTGTACACAGATACCCAAATGCCCTGCAGTGTGATCACAAATCTTTTTACAAAGTAATCTGCATGTCACGTCCCTTCATGCTAAACCTGTGTGGTGCCAGAAACATTACCTGTAAAAGTCTGTCGTATGGTTTTAAACCTCCCAGATCACCAGGGCCAGCTGGTCGAATATTTTTAACATACACTCCTTTTTCCAGTAAACCATCTGAGACACTGAACCCAAAGTCGTCTCCATCAGAGTCCTTGTACAAAGTTACCTGTGGAGGCGATTTGACATGATGAGAAGGGGCGGGGGGGAAAGTTTGTCCACACTTCTATGGAGCACTATGGAGGCTTTCTTCCCAGCATGTTTTGGGGTTTTTTTTCTACATTAGAGAGTTCACTTACCTACTATTTGGTACTTACAGTACTATATGAGAGTTGTCCCCATTTTGACATTATATTAATATTCTCAGAAGCCTCCTTTTTCTTCAGTAATAAGCAGCCCTTTTCACTTCTGCTTGTCAGCTGGACATTTGTGGGTTTTATCCCACCTTTTGTGGTGTCATTTTTTTGAGTCTTAGTTTTTTTCTCCACCCTGTTCTCTAGCTGCCAGGATCTGAGTACAAGCATCCAATTGGTCATCCATTTAAGTTTAGTTTTGCTTCAGAGATGAAGACCTGGCCTCAGCCAAACAATCGGTGTCGTGTCTTCCAAAACTTCCAGAGGGCATAAACGCCACCGGCACCATAAGCCCTAGCCAGCCTGGTTTCAGCCAGGCAATGGTCCGCCCTGTAAGGCCTAATCTCAGAAGTGCTCAGTATGAGAGTTATAATGCAATCTTTTAAGAGAATATGAATAAGGCTCCTTCAGAAAGAGCTTGCAGGCAGTGTTCTTACAGTCACATAGCCAAGAGACAGTCATTCAAAAGCAGGAAATAGAAGTTAATAAAACTGTTAGGAGAAGGTTTTTCAGGTATTCAGAGAACAAGTCCTTGCAGGGAGTTTTGTGAATTCAGTTATTTGATAGAAAAGGATTCAGATTTTTTTGTAGGTATGTGGTATACTTAGATTTTTTTTAATTTCTGTGAGGTTTGTTTTTTTTTCTTCCTTGCTTCTCTCTCACATTAGGAGTGCAGACCTATGCAAGTAAATTGTGTGAGTCAATGGTGTGACATCTGACTGACACGCTGATGCTGGCACAAAATGTGTGTGCAGATACAGTCACAGTCAAAATCAGGCTTTTACTGCTGAGTTTTTTTCACTTTGGCTTATAAAACATACCTTGGCTGATAAAACGACAACATTGAGAGTGCTCTGTAATTTTGTAATGGCTGGGTATCAGTAATGCTCCATGTGCTGCATCCTTGTGTGTGCCAGCCACTGAATTCCTTTCTGGTGTTTCTGAATCACAGAATCATTCAAACTGGAGGGGACTTTGGGAAGTCTCTAGTCCAATCTCCTGCTCAAGGCAGGGCCAAGACCAAATTCAGATCGGGCTGCTGAGGACTCGGTCAGTATTTCATAGAAGAATGCCAAGGCACAGCAGTGCTGGGGGCACAGCGCTGGCTGGTGCTGCCTTCAGAAAGCTTCTGAGATCCTGCCTTAACTGCCATTGTGAAAAGGTAAGCAAGAACAGACAAGGTTGTCTCAAAACAGAAGTGAAGAATTTGGTCAGATCAACAAAGAGCACAGATAGTTAGGTGTGGGTTTTTTCCTACTCTATGCGGTTTTCTTGAATTTACTTGGCTTTCGTGGTGTATCAACAGCGCTTTAACCAGAATGAAAACAGACTCACTGGTAAGTTTGGTCGCTATCGTGGGCAACAGTTGAGAGAAGTTAGATACGACACCAGCTGCTGCAGCATTAGCACCGTTTTATCTGTAGATGTGGACGATGCATTGCGGAAACACCTCTCTGTCTCACGCTGTGGTAAGCACAAATACCCACACAGAGTATTCGTCCCTTACTCTACACCAGTTCCTCCTCTTCCCTTGTTTTTCTCCCTCTGTACAGCACAGCAAAGCAGTAAGCCACACCTAAAGTCCATTAACTAAGCTGAAGGCTTTCTGCCTTCCAGTGACTTTTTTGGGCATGAGCTCTCATTTTAAACTTCCCAGTGGCTTCTGTGTTTAAGGTCTTTGCCGCCTTTTCTCCCATCTTCCCCTAAAGTAACTTCTTGCTGAACCTGTCATAATTCCTCCATCTCATCGTGAATTTTAGGAGTCTATGGGCATTTCAGCTACTGAAAAAGCTATCTGCAAATTCAAAATAATTAATCATAGAATGACTTTAATTGGTATCAACAGCTGCTGTACCAGCAGGACTCTGGGAAACTTCTAATAATTTGTTATCAACAGAGGCTTTTGTCTGTGATATCATAGCATGTCTAATATGGCTTTGATCTGAAGTATGTTTGAAGCTGCTATAAAAGTGCTGTAAGACTACCGTTCTACAAGACTAAAAAAATGAATAAAGGAGGGAGATATATTTTATTGACAGATTTGTGTGCATTTCCTGGCAAGAATGAAAAATAATTAGCATTGGACCAAGACACAAATTCTCCTCAAATGAGATGGTAACTTTTTTCCCACCCCGTCACAAAGGATAGGAGTGCTTCATGTCAACTGCTTCTTAAAGAAGCCTTGAAAAGTAAACATAAAAATGTGATACAGTGCCTAAGAGGAGAAGACTTACTTAAAATACTGTGCACTGTTCTGGCACAGATGGCACAATTTTTAAAAGGAACTTCCCCTTTCCACTTTTTCTTTTCCCCTTCCTCTTCCTTCGGGCACTGGAGTTAAGTGGAGCTGGATCCAACTACAAAAACATAGGAAACGGGACTACTTGAAGTCATCTAGACTGTATTCTTGCCCTAAGGCAGGATCAACTGCCTCTAACCCATTTCTGAGAGACATTTGTCTGTGATGCTTTTTAAAATCTCCAGTGATGGAGACTCCACAGTCTATTAAAGTAATCCCTTCCAGTGCTTCAGATGTTTTCCATAGGTCTAAACTAAATCGCCCTTGCTGAGAGTTAAGCCTGCTGCTATCCACAGAGAACAAGATCACTTTATTCTCTCCTTCTCTGCAGCGATGGGAAACAAGGATTGTTTTTCTCTGGACTCTGTTCGGTAGGTTAACATCCTTCTTTAATTTTCAGACCCCAAACTGGACACTCTATTACAGTCAAGACCTTATCAAAGCCAACCTTGAGCGGAGAATAATTCTGCATGTACTCAGATGGTGGTCCCATTTGTATGGTTTAGGACAGTGTTGCTTTTTTCCTATTTTTAGTGAGTGGTCTATTAGCAAACAAAATACATACAAATTCTGTTCTATGGATCTAAGGAAGTGCGATTCTACATTAGCTCACCTTATCTTGTGTCTTGTCTATAATAATGCTCGGGGAATCCACATGCTACTTCTTCCCCAGCTTGAGAGTCAAAAAATGGAGCATTGTAAATAATAAGGGACATGAAAGTGGAGTTTTGCTGTCGAGGTGGGAAACAGCATTTGCAGGACAGTGGGAAGTACTGCAATAGTGGGGCACAGGAGGAAGCAGAACTTGAGAATGATCATCCAAAGTCTTTTATTGCCCCCCTAGTTGTTCAGGTTGGACCTTCCTGGTTTATATGGACTGAGCACTCTGGAAGGGAATTACTCACTACCCTGCAATCAGAACTTTTATGTATAAAAGTATTTTCTCATTTCTCTGGTTCTTCAGATCTACAGATCATAAAAGATTTTAAAAACCTGTTCTCCTTATGGCTATCTTCTCTTCACTTTTGGTTTATTTAACAGGAGCTTGGAAATTAAAGAAATGCATACTTACTCACTTAAAGGATGAGGTAGTGATTTAACTTTGTGGCATATTTGACAGCTGTCCCATTGTTTTAGGTGCAAAGTTCTCACCTGCAGAGAACTTTCTTTTGTATTATAGGTTGTAATTTTGGGGCTACTTCTTTTTAAGGCAGCATATATTCTTAAGAGGGAATCTCAGCGTGAAAACCCTGCTACCTGAAATACCCAGATTTTTAATTAATAACGGGTATGGGCAAAGCCTTACCACACAGGTTTCTCATCTTCACTTGCCAGTAGCGCAGCCCTGTCTGAAGGGTATGAGATTGCAGGCAATTCATGCAACACCTAAATCATGCTGGTTTATCTGTAGTTCTGATCACAGCTGTTTGGAAGGTTTGATCTCATTAGCAAAATCTCCATTATGGGCAATTTGTTAGACTTTTAAATTTACATCAGGAGCCTAAGGGAAAAGAAAGCTGAAATGGAACTGTAATTCATATTTCATAAGCAATTAAATAGTTACAAATTTTAAACAGAGGCTTACAAGTTTTGAGTCTGTGTCTATGCCTCTCCTCCCTCTCAAATCTATGGGAAAATGCTTAATTTAAATTCATACATCTTGCACAGATCAGCTATTGAGGTATTTTAACTGACTGTAATTTTAGGTTAATGACTACTTGCAATAATAATATTGAAAAATTATCTGATGTCTAGTGCATATTTTTACTCTCAGAGGAATGCGTGCTCTATGAAACTTTTAAAAAATGATCCGCTATGATTTTTAGAAAAATATTAATCTATATGCTTACCTAGGTAGATAAAATCAATTAAAGGCATTAATTAAATTTGGGTACTGATAGAGCAATATGCTATCCAGTTAAATTAAATGTTACTTATTAAACCATCTAGAACAAATATTTGAAGAGATTTGTAGGACACTTATCTCAATTGTAACTTCCTCAGGACAAAGACAGTTCAAGTACACATTTGGTGAATGTAATGCAGTGAAGTAAGAAAAAGCAGTGAAGAATTCAGGTTAACTTGCTGCAAAGTTTGCAGCAGCCAGCAAAATAACTCTTAGGGCTGTGTTACCTTTCTGGTGTATATCTGAGAAGGACAAGCTAGTAATGTCATCTGCTCAGCGTGCTGTTCTGTTAGACTCGTTTGTGTTTGTAGCCTGAGTAGTCTTATTCTCTCTTACCCTATACAGTCGGACTGGCTATTGATGAATTTAATTTTGATGTGTGGCTTTTTCTTTGGTAGAATCATATATTCTTGCTCTCTCACAGTCAGATTATGAAAAACCAGTGAAACATCAACCTTAGCTGGCACATTTTCTGCAATCAAACTTAAGGTATGAACTCTGATCTATAGCGCATATAGGCCTGACTCAACAGGCATGCAGACTCATCACACTGAGGCAGTAAATAGGCACCTGACCTGACCTGCTGAAGAAACTGGGAAAGCTCAGCAGCGTGCACTCAAGTACATGCTTGAACGTCTTGCTGAGGTAAGTCTTAGGCAAGCTATGTCTTAGCTTGTATTTCAAAGGCTGTTTACACCATCACAGTTTTCCAAAACAGTTCTTATTTCACTGGTTGTCCCGTCAGTGGCCCAGCTGATCAAGACATTTGCCTGCAGAGGGCAGAGCACATTTGCCAGTAAGACCTGTTATGAAAAATACTTAAGGCATTTCTCTGAGAGTGAAGTGCAGTCATTGCAGCTCTTCTGGAAAACAATCATTGGACAAGCTGTCCATGAGAAATAGCAACTGAACAGGTTATTAGTGTTAAACTAGAGGTCTAATACAAAAATGATCGAGGAGAAAGAAAGTAACAGGCACATGGCTACACAAGAACCAGTAAGAAAACTAACAAATAAGAACTTGCTAAGATGGGCATGAATACAAAAACAGCCCATGATGCTTAGGTTAACCTGCACATGTGATCATAGGGGTACAAGCCCACTTTGATGAATCAGACCGTAAGATCCAGTCACTGGTTTCTATTTTTCTTAAACAACTGGATTTGGAAAATCCTTGGGGCAGGTTCAACTTTTAGAGTTTTAGAAAAGAAATGACGCTTTTCTGGATGACAGAATAGACAGTATAAGCAAACTCAACATCACTTCAGCGGACAGTGGGAAAGTGGGTATATTGTCTTAACAAAAACTGGAAATTACTAAAATGGAAGGTCACAGCAATCTTAAAAAATAGACAACTGAAGAGAGAGAAAGCTCAAGGACAGGGTATTTTTTACTGCCCAGGACTTTAAGAGCTAGCAGCTTTCATAGAATACCAACTCATTAATAGAAATCTGACTCCTCCTTTCCAGGAAAGAATTATTTTATCAATCATGAAAGGCTGGTTTTATAATCCATAGGAGAAAACTGTGCCTTTGTTGAATGTGAGCACACTATGAAATGCCTACTGGTGTAGTTTTGTTTTATATCTCACATTTACTCACCACTCAGGAAAACTGAGCACAGTAACTAACTCCATTAATCACTTCACATCAACAGATGTGAATAGCTTAAAACTATCACAACACATCCTATTGATTGTTTACATTGGCAATGGATTAATTTTCCATATATAAAATCCACTCTCCACTACTTTCAACAAACATTCATTTAGCCCATACTCAGTGAGTCCTTACCTCACTGAACTAAACTGAATGAACTACAAACTAAACTCAGTCAAACCCGCAGGGACTAGAAACCAAACCAACCCTCTCGAGAATGACAATGTGACGTCTTAACGAAATTTCTCCATGCTTCTGCCTCCTCTCTGAGAAGATATCAGACCTTTAAGAGGATGATGGATGCAGGAGATGGGAGGCTTATTCCGATCAAGTAGAACAGACATTATAACATCCCCCAAAGTTTTGGAAACTGGTTGCTGTTATTGCCTCACTGGACTTGAGACTTAAGCTGATAGGATGTTTGCTCTGCGTATCTAAAAATACTTTATCCAGTACTTCCATAGGGTGCAGAGCCACCTTCATATCACCAGGTGATTTCAACAGTCTTGAGTGGTGAAAAGTTGCATAGACTGAAGATTATTTATCCTTTTTAGAGCAAAAGAATTATAAAGAGAAGAGAAGCAATAGCTAATTTGAAATAACATTCTATATTATGTACATCAAGTCTCATGTATTTGATTCAAAATGAGTGTTAATTTGAAGAAGGACCAATGGGAGCCCCAAACCCTCCTGAGTAATATCCTAAAGAAATGTATTTTCTAGAAATTAAACTTTGCTTTCTTAATGAACACATTTTGCAGAGATGAGTTATTGGTATTGTCAATTCAAATTACCAGTGGATCCTCCTTGCAGAAGAGCAGTCCCTTTTGAGGATTTATTGTAAAACAAAATACTAGACAAGGATGCATCTTATTTGTTTCCCCCACAAGGATATATCATTAATGTGTTTGTAAGAACTAATATGCATGGCCCCCAAATTACATCTGTGGAGTCATTATAAAAAGTGCTTACTGTATTGCCATATAATTAGATTCCCTATGCTGAATATATTATTTCAAAGCTGTCAGAAGAAAATTACAGACCTTGTGTAACTCCACAGGAGTTGGTGACATGATTTCTTTCATTTCTTGCTTAATTTTTCTCAGAACCATGGACTTTCTCCCCACATCTGACGGCAATGTGTTGCTACGAGTAGCTTGACTGTAATGTGGCCTTACAGTACTTCTTTCCTGGAAGCTGGCTTGTCTTCCCAGCTGGCTACGAGGTTGTGGGTTTTCATGATTCAAACTCATTGTACTTCCTGACATAATTGTGGCCTAGAGCATTAATGAACAGGTTAATTTTTAACACAGAATGTGGGTTAAATAAGTGGTTAATTCATAGCAGTAGGAAAAACATCTCTGTTCTTTGTTAAAACACAATCACTCAGGGCACAGCAAAAGGCAAGAGGATAGATGTTCAATCTGCTTGCAAGTCACTATAAAATAAAGGACCACAACAAAACACAACAACAATAACAAAACCCTATGGGCAGAAGTTTTCAGATGGCATTTCAAACTAAAATACTGAGCACTAGAATGGCTATGCTTGTAAGCTAGTCCCCTGGCAGACTGAAGGGTGTGTAGTATAATTGCTTATTTTAAAAATATTTTACATGTAAATAAAACAATATTTAAGTTGCGGCATAATTGCATTTGTTGGAATCAGAGCTATAGGAAGGCATTTACAATTCAGACTCTGTATGCAAGGTAAAAAAATGTGAGTCAGCACAGTATGTAGGCAGCTCTAGAGTCAGCACTGGCAGAGAGCGTGCCCGGATACCATCCCAGGCTGGGGAAAGCTCAGTGCAGGTAAGCTCACTGCCTTGAAAGAAACTTCGCATAACACACATATTGCAAGAGTAACTGCCTTAGCTTAGCACTAATACTTCAGAGATACAAACCCCTGTCTCACTGCTGGTTTTAATCTCAGTAAGAGCTAGCCTTTTACGTTGGATGCAAGAATACACTAAGGGTGAAATCTTGAAAGATGACAACAGCAGTCATCTCATCCACTGGGTGGAACGGACTGACATGAAAAGCACCTGTGTACTGCAAGGAGCCTCCTCCCTTGTGAAAGACACTGCTCTGGGGAACAGGAGACAAATGCACTTTGGCACAGCCACTGTACAGAAGTGCCACTGCTGGGATAGGGTATGCCGAATTTCCTATTTATTCTCCCTGGAGCCGATAGACAAGTGAAAAGGGAAATTAAAAGGCCATAACCTGAAGTCTGACTGGGACAGGATGCAGACAGCCTGCTTAAAAATGAGAAGTAAAAATGAAGGGGGAAAAACTAAGGGGAAAACCAGCAAATAAATGTTTGCTTCTGACCCTGGAGAACATGTCTGTCACCCTTCTTTCTCCCAGCTCCAGCACTACTTTCACTACAAGATAATATATTGTAGCCTTAACAGTCTCTCTTGTGCTCAGTAATGACTGATACTACTCCCTGATGGAGCAAAAGCATCCAGAGGACTTGGCAAGCAACAGTTTTCTTTGCTCTTTGGCTGAAGACCTTGAAATGAAAAACGGTAAGGAGTCCTTGGACTATGCAATGGCACTTCATAAAATAGAGGCATCGCCATTCTCGGCATCCTGTCGTACTGAATAAGTCTTGCTTTCTTTTCAGAGCTGTGGGTTGTGCAACAAGGCGATGCTATAAATGATACAGCATCTACAGTTCTGAATTTCACTTTTGTGAAAGGCTGAGGAAAATCCAACGTGTTGAAGTAACTGAATTCTGGTCAGTGTGAATGATCTATTTCCATTTTGGAATTACCTATTTCCATTTCCTTTTATTGTGCTCTGAATATTGAAAATTGCAAGAGAAGCCTGTGGTACTGAACCATATCTAACTATGGAATTAAACCAGTATAACATTTTCTCCTATATTTCTCTGGTTTGCAATAACAAATACATGAGAATCACATTTTGCTACCCATACATGCAATACAAAAGCCATAAATCTGAGGAAGTAAATTAATCTGAACTGAAAAACTTTCACCCAGTTATGCCATTCACATTCCTCCTGGCTGCTAAAGGACTTTATATAACATAAAAATGAAAATGAGATTCTGCCAGTTTTGCAGCTCCAGGAATTTAAAAGAACATAAAAGAAAATATTTTAGGACCTTTCATTCCACAGCTGTGAGTGGCAATATAATCTTAATTGTTCTGATTAGGCAACTTAGAGAAAAGGTGATTAGAAAAATAAAGACTCAAAGTTACTCTGTCTCTGTTCCCTTCCGCCTCTACTCCCCTCACAATCTAACACAAAGCATGGTTAGATTTGCAATTAACTTCAGGATGAAATGTGAAAATTTGCTACGCAGTGAAGAAATTGCTGTATAACAAACATTTCTCACATTGGCAGCTTTTTTTGCAGAGTGGTAAGATTATAGGTAAACATTTTGAAAAGCTGATTTTCTTTTATGTTCATCTTAATCAAATTAAGTTTCAGTTGAAAAGGCAACCTACAACATGCTAAGAAAAGCTGCATAAAGCGTCTGTCAGAGAATGGGATGCATTGCTGCAGGAAGGTTATGCCCACTTAAGAAGTTCTGCGCCATTTGCTGCCTGTACAGACAGCATCAATGGTTATGCACAGCAGAAGCTGCAAGTCAAAAGCTCGGGGTGAACATGTTTATAGAATTTTGGTTGCATTGTACAAAAGAAAACAGCTTTGGTTCGGGGTGGGGGAGGCAGCTGCACAAGCAAAAATATAAAGGTAAAGGGTAGGTACCAAGAGAGTCATGTTTCTCAAACACAGACGCCTGTCAGCCTTGTCCTGTGGAGAGGGGTTAAAGCTTTTAAATGAATTGGTGTGATTAGTGCAACTTAAAAGAAAAAAAGGAGAAAATAAAATGAATGTAAACCAAACCAAAACCATTATATTTCTCTATAATTGGAAAGAAAGGTTAAGATTGTTCTACCTCTAGTTCCCTTAGAATTCCTGACTGGCCACAGGTCTCTAAATCCTCCAGAGCCTGAGACCAGAAATTTTCCTCCTGGTCAGCCTCGGTGTTATCATGGGTACCTGTGAAGCTAGATTTACAATGAGAGGTTAAAAAAATGTGGACTTTTTGCCTTCGAAAAATATATTTTACACGCGTGCCTTGCCACAGATTGCAACTTGAATGACAGGATGTTACGGTAGGTAGGCAGGAGAGTGGGGAAGAGTCGCTGATCAGGAAAGGCTGGATGAACATGCAGAGCACATGACAGACAAGTCTTCTCATAACCTGGCAGTCGCTAGCAGCTGGTAGGATCTGAGCAGCAAGTTATTCAGTAAAGAGATAAATGGATTCCAAGAACAATTCAATACACATTTTTACTGGATTGAAACTGGGACCTCCCTGTGAAAATTAATGAATCAACCAGTAGCTGTGTGCAGAGCTGCTCTGTGCAACGAATATTTGCAATAAAACTTTTCAACCTCACAGACTTCTCCCACGGCATATGAAAAGAGCCCTCATTTTTGCAAACAGCATTTTGCAAAAGAGGGATGGTGGTGCTTTTTACCTGATTCCTTCAGCCTAAGCTGCATTTATCATTATCAATTTAAGCCCACCTGACTGCCATCATATAAACTGCTCCACTCATTTCATACACAAACACAGAGAAACTTTCAGGGATGCAACTGTCTTGCATGGAGACTTAGGTCTCTGGTGTTTCATAAACACACCGAAGCCTTATTACTATCACTCTTGAGCAAGATGTTGGTGACAGCGATGCTTAGGGAAGCTGCCCAGCAAGAGAGGTCTGATAAAAAACGTCAACTCTGGACTGCAGCAACACAGCCCAAAGCAACACTATTACAGTGTATGTGCGTGTGGGGAGGAAGCAGGAGGTTTTTGCTGTCTTAGCAAGAGGAATCAGCTCAATGAAGGTTCACACAAGCGTCAGAGCTGCTGCATGGGAGGGGGCTGATTATGTGAAAGGCACAGGGGAAGGATGAGGAAGGAAAGAATGAGAATTCGCCCTTTTGGTGGCAGCAAGCTGTTACTTTGGAGCAGCTGCCCATGGACTGCAGCTAGTGGTGCTTAATAGCACATAAACAGAGCAAACACCATTATGGAAGCATCTGAGGCCTTGCTTGACAAACAATGTATTACTGAGAATAGCGTGAATGTAACACTGTTAACAGAATAGCTTTTAAATAGGAGAACTGCCCAGCACAACGGATGACAGCTCGAATGCTTCACACACATGATACTCTGCCTCAGAGATGCTTTCTTACAATTACAATCAGTCAAGCAGACAATGGTCAGCCATTTCAATCTCTTATTGCAATGATTCTCCATCTAGCATCAGTGTCTTTTCTAAGATATTGCAATAGATACAGCAATGGTGAGAAGAATACCTACTCAGATCACAGATGCAATTCCTCCCAGGCAAGATAAGAAAGTATTTAAAACATGATTTTAGAAAGACCCTTGACTTCTGAAATTAGCTCTTTCAATAAACCTAAGTAGTTGTTTTAATAGCCAATGCTGAACATGGGCTAATTTATCCATTACAATACCTTTCTTTATCTTGCATACTAATATTATAATATAAAATGGAACTTGAGTTAATGAACAGGATTATTTGAGGCAATTGTCTGCGACAGCAAAGACTGGATTTCCTAGAGCTGGAGGCCCATTTCTTCTCCAACTTCTGTGAAATCTGAAATCATGATGCCTGTATGTCTGGACCTCTTTTTAGCTGAAGCAATTCCTTTTTTTGCCCTCACCTCCTCTTTTGCCTTTACTCTGAGTCTTGTCTCCTGGTGTGTGAAATGCTCAACTTTTGCACCTCCATTACAACCACATGAATAAACTGATTTGTAGCTGAGCTAGTGCACCAGAAAAAAAGAGGTACCAAAATAATTTCTCATCTAGATGGCTTTTTTTCCTGAAACCTGAGAGATTGATTTTATGTCATGTAAAATATTGTTTGACATATAAAAAATATATTTGGTTTTCTGATGCTTATTCAAAGAGCCATCAGAAATTTAGATGCATAAAAATGCTGAAGGAGAGGTAGTGGGACAGATGTGAAGACAGAGGTGCCTATGATTTGCTTCTTACCGCCATATGAGACACAAAATCTTTTTTTTTTTTTTTTTTTAAATTCAGGAGGTGATAGGATGTTCTAGGGTCTGGCAGACTCATTCCTGTAAGCATTGTTTTAATGTGCAAAAAATTTTCCTTGGAGCAGGAACTATAATAGACTTGTCCTCCCTGCCAGTGATAGGTAGACACCAGGCTACAGAGCAGTTTAAGCTCTCTGGTTTCATTTGCTTGCCAACTGAAATTTCATTGTCATTCAATGCATGTTAATGATGTGTTTTCTGCTTTTACCCTGTTTTTCTCCTTTTTCTCATTTCAACTGTTTTTCCTTTCTTCCCCCTTCCCCCTCCCCCTGCCTCAGCCCAGCTGGATCTCATTCCTGTGCACTCTTTGTTCTCCTACCTGGAAGTATTCCACTCTTCCAGCTGTCCCCCACCTTTCCTTTGCCCACCAGAGGCACCTTTCCACATCTTGCCCTCTTTCTTCATGCTCCTGATGCTCTCTCCCCCTGATCTTTCTACAGAAGTTTGCTTTAAATGGTTTTCTTGATTCTCTCCCAATGTCTCAGTCTCCTTCTGTTGCCACGTATTCTTGGAAGCTGTGCTACACAAAATAAGGGTAAGAAAAAATTACTTTTTAGTGTTAGAGAACAAGATAAGATGTTTAGCTAGAGGCAGAGAAGAGGTGGATTTCTGGGGATCCCTGTAACAGCCTGGAAGAACAGACACGCCCTTCTCAAATACTCCAGCACTTGGTATAGGACCACCACCAGGTGTGGCATAATCCATTTTACAGATACAGGGTTAAAATAATCATTATTTTAACTTGTGCCATATCTCTCTGATGTGAGTCACACTGACACGTAGAAAAAGATTCTTTATTGTGCATACTTTCTGTTGAATAGTGCTTTAAAATAGTAGTAGAATACATGCTTTTCATTTAGAAGATTCTGTATTTTACAATCCAGCTTCCCGGTTCACTGCTCATCAACTTTTTCAGCCTATTACTTATGTAACTGCAGAACAGTAGGTGTTCTGGAATCTATGGCTGCATCTCATCTGAGAAACAAAAGATGGGCTTTAACTGTGGATAAAGATGCTGCTATTAAATTAAAGATACTAACTTACCAAGAACGGGAGGTATGAATAAAACTATGGTCATTTCCTTTATTAAATATTGCCCACTACTAGCCTATGAAAACTCCTAGTGTACTTCTGGCCAGTAGGGACCAAAGGAGCTGGATACAGACTGAGAGTTCACACTTGCCCAGATCTTAGCCATCAGCTTGCCAGACAAAATGCCACTCGGCAATCTGCTGTATCAGAGGATTTGTCATTCAGATTCTGAAAAGCAGCACTGGCATCTAAGCCTTGCCTTGATTTGTATTTCAAAGGTAACAGACTGGACTTTATAGATTTACTTATCCAGTATGTTTATACAGGAACCAGAAAGGTTTTATTTAGTACTAAACTTGAATTTCTCACAGACTGGATTTCAGGCTTATTGTGCTGCTACACCAAGAAACTATTTCTAATGAAGGACATGCATGTCTGCAAGTCCTGAGGATGGGTACAAAGAGCACAGAAATCTTTCTAACTGTGATGTCTGTCTTCCCTTGTCTGAGGAAGAACTGTTCTTTGGCAGGAACTACCCAAGTCTCTGCAGTGGTTCCACTGCCGGATCATCCTTAGAATAGAGAATAAGAGACTTTTGGATCTTTCACTATCTCCAAGAATTGTCAACTAAGCATTTTTCCCTCAGGAAGTTCTTTTGCCTGCAGAGAAATCCATTGAGAAGGAGATTTACCTCTCAGAAGAAGAGGAATGAATGCATGGCAAACCACCATAGCTTTGGACAAGATATTTCTACCTGGATCACTTTGTTCTCCTACTGAATCACTGCAAATGTCTCAAGCATTTATGGAAGAAGACTGTAATTTCTGCTTCTTTGCCCAAACCAAAATGAAGAATTTTCATGGAAGACAAAAGATTAACATGCCAGTTGTCTTTAGCCACTTTATTTGTAGGTTTATTCTTGTGGAGTGGAAAACAGAGCAGTTTTTTTCTGAAGCTTACCCAGGGGAATGCCCTAATTTTTTTATTTGTTTATTCTTAAGAGATAAATGCTGTGTTTTTTTGTCTGAAGTAACTAAAAATAAATATATGTCTTAGTTTTGGCATCATAATCTTCCATAAATGTCACTAATCTACCCTAATAAGTTTCATGAAGTATAAATACTATATCTCACATTTAAAGAGAGCTGTTACAGCTGCCTTAGAAAAACATAATTTCATTCCAGGCAGTAAGTGTTCATTTTTGAGGCACTGCTGTAGCTGCAAATCAGAAATCAGAAACTCGTATGGGAACTTACCTGCTTGCTGTAGGTCGGTCCCATTCGTCATCACTCAGCCCTGTATCATGAAATGGGTGGTTTCGTGGTTTGCTTGGAGGGGACAAACTAGTCTGTTTAGGACTCCTCCATTCATAGGCATTGAAGTTGTATCCTGAAGCCTGATAGCTGTGTCCTGAAAAGATGAATTATATATTTACAGCACTGTATATGTTGTAATGACAAAAAAGTACATCTCTGAAGCTGGGTTCTCTAGAACTTGGATGTGGACTCATGATTGCTACCTTTTTTTTTGCAGTAGTACTCAGATTATTTATGACCTAAATTATGCTTGGAATTAGGTGTGCTCTAGAGCTTCTCCTGTGAAAGTCCATTGAAAGCAAAATTTTAAATATATCTAACACTGTTCTCCTACTGTTTATGTCTCAGCTGCTTCTGATGTTTAGTTCTAGACATCTTCACAATTTATCAGTTTCCAATTTGACATCATACATTGAATACTAGCGAATCAATCACGTGTGTTATGGATATGTTAAATATGCGTTAACGTGGTCATGTGCAACATGCCCAAAATTAAACTTAAGCTATTAAGAAAACTGCGCTTCAGACCTATTGAAAAAAGAGTTTGCAAGGATGCATTAAAAAGGATGCATGAACTTGACTCTTCAGATGACTAGCAAGAAATTTTTTTCTTCCTCCTGGTAACTTTCTCAAATTTGGAAGCAATGAAGCCAAAAATTAGTGACATATTAGTGTCAATTATGCACAGTACTACCAATCTGTAGAATGGCTACCTAGATGCAAAAGTTGGCATGGTGCAGAGGCTCTCAAATGACCATTAACTGGAGTAATGCCAGAACAGGAAGGAGGGCGGCTGTCTCGGCACCACTGAGGCAAGGACTCATTAATACAAGTGCAGGACTGTGCTGTCACAGCCCCGCACTGCCCTGAATAAAGGCCAACATGGGAATCTCTGTACCATGCCCCTTTGTGGAAGAGGGACTTGCACTTAGCTACTGCTTTTTGCTAGGGCTCTGAGAGCTGAGAAAAGGCTCGTCTCATGATGGGGACACATGCCCGGGACCAATATACACTTCATCGCGCAGAAAGTGATTTCTCTATCAGCCATTTCCAAATATCTCAAGGCTGCGTAAGTGGCCTTTATATCTGAAGAGTTTATTTCTGGCTGCTTTTATCATACAAGCTATGTTGATATTAGTTCAATATGAATTAAGTGTAATTTGAATTCCAAGTAGGAACCAGACAGTCTGACTTCCAAGTGATGTATCAAGAAGAACACATGGATCGACTTGTCACAAGCTGATGCTGATCTGGTAAGCAAAATCCATTATGCTAGAGCTGCTATATATATATATATTTCATCCTGACATATTCCTTTTCTAGCTCTCTAGTCAGCATTTTCTGATGTGCATATTGGATTAGGAAGTGCCATTTTGTTGATGACTCACAAACATCACTGCGGCCACCTCTCTAAAGAGGGCAGTTTGCTTCCATAAATCAGTCTAGACCTGTCTCTCTCAAATCCCATGTAACTACAGAGTTCTGTGCATTTTTCAGCTAATTGGCAGACATTAACATATTCCCAGATTCTAGGAAGAGTTTTGGTTGTGAAAATGTGACTGCTGCGTGGGGAAGGCTCCGGATTAGTAAGGCAGACCACATTAGACAAAGGTACAAAATGGGGTATTAATTCAAGGAGAGAGAAGACTGCTCACCAGCATTAAATTAGTAACTAATAGGATAAAACATTATCTGGTGCTCCAGGAACATTCCCCAAACTCCTCAATTTGCTTAGCCTGTGCTTATGCCAAGAAAGGTTTGGAGAGAAGCCAAACTCAACTTGATAGGTCAAGAAAGAATGAACTTTAATAGAAATGTGGGTCACATTAGTACCACAGCAAGGGATAAGGTGCAAATCTAATTGCACTTAGGCTGTTTAGCAGAAGTGCCATGTATCCAGCCAAGTCTGGGCTGATTTTTCCAAGGGAGTTAGAAAAAAACCTGCTTTGAGATACTGGTTTAGTTTTGGCATGGCATCCGAATCATCAGGACTTCGGAAAGCAGTCTGGGCCTCAATCCTTTCCGCAGTTGAACAATTTGCTCCAAATATCATCAATTCACCCAGGAAATGAGAACTATCATTTTGACTTTTTCAGCAATACTTCTCCTTAGAACTTAAAAATATCAGAAGAAAATTTAACATGATTTATTTTGATAAACTGACCAAAACAGTTAAAAACAGAAGAGGGGACAAATTCATCCCAACTCTAACTCCAGTGAAATACAAATTATACGGGGGGGGTTTAGCCCAGTACATTGAGTACTAAAATGTATCTAACAGTAAATTAGAAATAAAATGTAGAAAACAGAAATTAAAATTAAATATATTGAGACTGTCTTGTTTAAAGTAAGTTAATGCCAAATATATGTAGTAAGGCTAAGAAATACTTAAAAATTAAAGAACAGAAAAAAATGGCCACTAGTAGTGACATCAGCTACTTCCTGATCTCAGGTAGCTTAGCAAGTTTCAAAGGAAACATTCTGCTTTCCAGAAGAACTGCCAGTATTATCATTGAGCAGGCACATTAGAGAATAGCAATGAAAGTAATCAGGACAGAACTTCAGTCTATATGGGAAATCTGCTGGGAAGAGCTCGGTTTCAGTTCTCTGTGTGAGGGTATAAAACAGCTGTCCATGAGCTACTACCCCTGCTCCTGGAAAGCAACAGAAGGAAACAGAGAAATAAAATTGAAAGAATGTGTGCAATCAGAGCAAGTGATAAAAAATTATTTGAGGTAAGGATCTACCTGTCCAAATACCTGCCAGGTAGTGGGAATACCTGCTTTACTATGGAAATAAACATTTTAAAGAGAGTTAAATAAAACATTGAAGCTGTGTGGAAGTTATTTTTCTTGTTATCTAGGATATTACAAGATGTCTGTATCCCTCACTGCCTAAATAAATATCTTACAAACTAAAATGAAATTATTTGAAAATCCTATATAAAACAATAGTCAAACAGAAGTAGAAAATTTAGCATTAAGGAAAATCATGTCTTTAAACAGAATGATTGTTTTTGAGGGCTGAAAGTTAGATGTTAATGCTGCAGGAATGAGGAAGAAGCAGAAGATTTACAAATTATAAGCAACGCCTAATGTTCCCCCTTCAGCAGTTTATAATAAATCTGTTTTCAGTTAAAAATTACTGCATAAGAGCACCACATTCATGAACATCTTCAGTGTGTTCTGTGCCTTGCATTGATCTGTATTTGAAGGATAAACTCATTTAGTTGTGGATGAGTTGTGCACTGGGCTATTCAGATGTCAGTAAAGCTAACAAAAGCCTGTTAATGTATTGATAAATGCTTCGTAACACATCACATTGTCATGAAAGGATGAATCTGAGGCCAGCCAAGTGTAAGAAATCACGCTGCCTGGCACGGTGTGTGGTCATAATGAGACACGGGCACATTACAAAGTACAAGGTTTAAAGTTGGTACAGATGAAGGTCTCTTTAAGGCAAAGGAAGGTAACCACGAAGGCGATAACTTCTACTTTAAATGTCAACTGCATTCTTGATAGTACCTTGATTTCCAAAGCTGGTATCAATACCAGAGCCATCCCATGACTCTACGGCGCTGTCAACACTTGGGACTGTAGTGGAATAGATGTCTGAGAGTTTGCCAGATTTCTGTGCAGCAGAGGCTTCATCTTCAGCATCGCTCAGTTCACTTATGTGACCCACAGGGACAGAAAATTTCTTGGGACTAGTAGCTGAATAGGATTATAAAAAAAGAAAAGGGGGTGGTGGTCATTGCTTTACTGCAGTTCTAAGAATATGCTTTTTCCTACTGACACAACATTTTTCCAGGGATGGTCTAAATGCTTCTTAATCTGTAACAACATATGCATTAAAGACCACTGATGCTACCCTTGGCCGTACTCACCATCTGTCTGCTTCTTGATTTTCAAGGTGACAGTTTCTCCTGCCATCTGTAATAAATGAATGGCTTCACTCAAAGGTTTTCCTTTCAGACTGCTACTATTTATTGCTAAGATTCTGTCTCCTATGTGAATTGCCCCAGTCCTACAATAAGAGAGAAGTAAAACATTGAGGAGCACAAAAAGCAACAAAGGCAATTTCTTTGCGTATTTGGAGCATGACAGTCTCATGTCCCTTCCTTTCTTTCATTTTGCTTTTATAGCTGTGTCACGGAGTAATTCTTTTGTTAGAAATACTTAAAGCAAGTCACCTCTGTTGTAGTGACAATAGCAGAGCTGAGGCATGGAGATGTGGATTTCTGTGTTACTGTGGTAGTTGAGTTAATCACCTATGGATGACACTCATTGCAGCCCACCTGTTAAAGAGCAATCTCAGACAGCTCAGTAAGTTCTGAAATGAGTCAAGTTTCTAGAAGTCCCACAACATAACAGATAATGGCAGTGTGAGCAAGTAACCAGCTATTTCACCAGTGTGGCTTTCAGGATGGATCATATCAAGAGAAGAAAAGAAATTCTCTATGTGTAAATGCACTGTTTGTTCTGGCTGCACACAATATCATGTTTTGTGTGCTTTTAAGTTCTCTCTGAAACCACCACCAAAGGTACAGTTGCAATGACTCTACCTATCCTGGAAATAACAGGCGATAGAAAACCTTAGCATTTTCATTATTCTCTATACACCACTTACCATGAGGAGCATTTCCACTCCTCAGATAATGCCGCTATGCTGTATGTAAGTGCACATACAGATGCAGTGTGTGTATACAATAAGCAGCATATTTTCAGATAAACTTAGACACATGAAGTGCTTTCCTTACCTATTCTACTCTACAAGGCTATTGCTTTTAAAAGGCTGCTAAAATGTTCCTGTGACTGTGCAGTTTGATTGACTAGTCTTTCCTAGGTGATTTATAATAAGGACCACAATCCTCTGCTCTGTCTTGTATAGTATGTGCAAGAACATCCTGTTAAGATATTCCTCATGCTCCTGAACTTGGCAATGATCAAAAAATGACAGCAAAAGGATTATAAACTCAGATTTAGAGAATTATAAAAAAATAAATTGCTAAACCATGAAAATTAGCATGTTCAGGTAAACAAAAAAAATCTTCATCTTGACAAAAGGAACGCTTAAAAATAATTTGCTTTCCAATTTACCTTTCAGCTAATCCTCCTTTTGTAAGGCTGGAAATGATTATGGGATCAAAGGGCTCTTCAGTACCAGAGATCGTAATTCCAAGAGGCCCACCATAGCGCTTGAGCTCAACAGTATAAATAATTGCTCCAGAGCTCTCCTGTTCATCTGCAATAAATGCCAAGGGGATGCAATTGGTTTCTTATGAAAGAGGGAATGAAAAAAATAGCACATTCAGTCTAGTAACTGGTAATCAAACAACATTATCAAAGGATTACATTTCAGATACACTTCTTAATCATATTCTACTGGATTATTTGGGGGGGGGGCGGAATTATCTCTTGTGCAATTTCTTTTTTATTGCCAAAACCTGATTACATTGAAGTCAATAGAAACACTCTCCTCATTCTATTAAGATTAAATTTTACTCTGTTTGAAATCTTTGTATCTTCTTTCCTATTAAAATGTAACTTCAAGATATTTTATGACAGAATCACAGAATGGTTGAGGTTGGAAGGGACCTCTAGAGGTCACCCAGTCCAAGACCCCTGCCCAAGCAGGCTGCCCAGGACTGTCTCCAGCTGGCTTCTGAATACCTCCAAGAATGGAGACTCTACAACATTTCTGGGCAACCTGTGCCAGTGCTCAGTTGCCCTCACAGTAAAAAAGTGTTTCCTGATGTTCAGGAGGAACTTCCTGTGTTTCAGTTTGTGTCCACTGCCTCGTGTCCTGTCACTGGGTACCACTGAAAAAAGCTTGGCTCCTTTTTCTTTACACTCTCCCTTCAGCTATTTATACACATTGATAAGATCCCCCCTGAGCCTTCTCTTCTCCAGACTGACTGGTCCCAGCTCTCTCAGCCTTTCCTCACAGGAGAGGTGCTCTAGCCCCTTCACCATCTTTGAGGCCCTTCCCTGGACTCATTCCATTACGTCCATGTCTCTCTTGCACTGGGGAGCTGGACCAGCACTCCAGAACTGGACCCAGGACTCCAGAAGTCTCTCACCAGTGCTGAGTAGAGGGGAAGGATCGCCTCCCTCGATGTGCTGGCAATGCTCTGCCTGATGCAGCCCAGGAGGCTGTTGGTATTCTTTGCCGCAAAGGCACATTATTAGAGAAAGTTACTACTATTGTATAAATTTATACTATTATATAAATAGTCATCTATAAATAGTCAATAAATACTCATCTGTTTCTTGAACTGAATGGAAGGTATTTAGAATCAAAGATAATTCAAAAGTTTTAAAACCAAACTTCCTTAAAAGAATTGTGGGGAAAAAAATCAAAAGTCATGATAAGATGAGCAGCTGTCTTACTAGGAAAACCTGAAATATATCCCATGTTTCTGATGCACAAGTTTTAAGCTTTTGTAACAGAATCAAAAATAGCTTCTGAATTCTAAATTATCAACTAAGTTGAATAATAACTCCATTAGATTTGATTTCATTATATTGCAGAGTCATTTGCGTTATTTTCAAATTTCAGTCTCACCAAACAATCAGAAATGGAGATGAATTTATCACTGGGTAAGCTTAAATACAAGGTATTTTCCTTAAACAATACCCCACAAGTGGTGCAGCAAAAAGAAAGGCTCCTGTATTTATACAGTGCATGCGCTTTACATACTGTATAAAAAAATCACAGCAGGAGAGCAATCAACTGTAGTACCTTTGAGTTGTGAAGGGATATTTTAAAATTTAAAATGTCAGATTTCTCCTCAGAACAAAATAACAAATGCTCCCTTGCCCATCTTATGATATTGGTATTCAGCCAGAATGTCTGGCCTGGCGGGCAACTTTTCCTAGATCTGTGGGTAATGACATTTCAAATGGCTCACCGAGTGTGGAAAATGTCTAGGATGCACATTCCATAAATGTTACTAGAACTAACCTGAGACAAGTTAGAAAATTCAAATGTTCCCATTTCTATTCCTGTAGATAGAAAAACTTTAAGAGGAAAAAAGATACGTGCATCGCTACCAAAGGTTCAAAGAGTTGCTTTCTTCTAATGCTGAACATGGTACTTAAGCTGAGCTGGAGACACACTAGTATCTTTGGAGCTACTTTGTTTCTTTGCAATTGGCAGAAAATTTAGGCCTTTAGCTTCCCCCCCACCAACTCCCTCGTATTTCCCCCTTGCTATCCACATAAAGAAAATGGCACACACATAAAATCAAAGGAGAGAAGAATTAGTGGTGTTTATTCAGCAAAGAATACTGGGATTTTCATGCCTAGTGTTGGCCTTGTATTCCTACTTGGGGCATTATCATCAGTGTTTTGGCTCAGTTCACATCAACTACGCTTTATCTGACATGCTCTTTCCAGAAGCACCCAACTCCCAAGACCCCACTGGAAGCCTCTGGCTGGCATACAGTGGGCTAGCTTACGTAAGCTGCCATTGCACAGCAGAGGAGTGGCAGCTCTCGCTTGCTTGCTAGAGCATCTATGGAATAAATCCTAATAATAATGCTGATACACGTTTACACAGGTGTGGCATTGACATGGTACAAGACTTCAGCTGAAGGATGAAAAGTAATCCACCAAGCTAATTGAAAATGTAATAGCCAGTATTTGCTAAGGGTCAACAAATACTGATGTTTCTCCGCTATCAACATTAAGTGAATAAGAAGTTATTAATCATACAGCAGCCCTGCCATATGAGAGTTGGAAGTTTATAGATCTTAATGAATGACTGGGAAGGAGACTGGTCCATTACGTCTGTCTTCTGGTTAGCCCTAGTTAAGAAAATTAATGGCAGAATGCAACAAATGTCAAATTGCTACACTGATCTCTTCAGTGCTCTTTCCAGGCAGCAGAAATGCAAGCTATCCAAGAACATGGCATGGATGTGGCCTGAATTCACAATGAAGGCCAGTTTTGCCATGAAAGCAAAGAACTCTGATATTCAAAAAGGGGTGGTAGCCATTATGTTAGTAAGGAGATAAAATTGTCCTCAGTTTGGGAAGCTGGCAGGAAAAAAAGAAAAGAGAAAAACTGCCGAAAACATACTTCCATCCGGGGAGGAAATATAACCAAACTACCATTTTTTTGGGTTCTCATGTTTTTGAGATTTTTCTTCTTTCTTTTCTTGTGATGCAATTGTGGATAGTTCTTGGAAACCACATCTAATGAAAGCAGACCCTCTATACTGCAGCGCCTCTGCTCTGTCCACTAGTCACTTGGTCTTCAGAGTAACAACTGATCAATACAGACAAAAGGGCAAAAAAGAGCACGGTCTGGGGGAGCACATGACATGTACTACCCTGCTGCTGGCCGCACCTGCATGGTTGGCTCTGAGGAACACAGCTCTGAGACACATACAACTGTCTGAAGAAGGGAGGAGTTGGAGAGACAGCAGAGGAAGGAAAAACAGAAGGCAGAATGAAGAGCTAGAAGCTAGAAATACTTAAAAATGAGTAGTTTGAAAGACAGTGAGAAAATGAGAACCTAGGGAGGAAGAAACGCTGCTCCCTCCCTGCTTTCCTCTCCTCAAAAAAGCATGCCATGAGAAATTTAAAAAGTTTAAATCTTAATCTCATTCTGTGATTTAGAAATTGTTTTGGAGTGCTCCACGCCTACTTGTCTATTAGTATCAGGCTTTTTGTTTCCTTGGAGAATTTATTAATGATTTTTTTCTGTTGAGTTTGAGAAGCACATTTCTTCCTTTTGTGAGAAAACAGACTTTCGTATATAAACTAACGACAAAGAAACAAAAATTTATTTTAACTGAGGTATACTTTTTGCTACACCTTTGCTACTGTTTTTTAAAATATTTTTTCTTTAGCATTTCAGGAGACACTCATCCATTTTAGATTTCAAACTACCTGAAATCTGCTATAAATACTTTCAATTACACTTTGACACTTAGTCAAGTGTTACAAGAACCATCTGTATAGAGAATTTTGTTCAGTAGGTCTCTGAGTAGCTGTCCAATTACACCTGAATCTGTTCAGTTACACCAATCATGTCTGGATAAGACACTGTAGTTGTGTGAGAATCTTGATATAGATATATGATGTAACTGTAAAATAAGCAATGTGAATGTGTAAAAGAAAACCATCTCAGAATCCCACTCAGACTAAAATCTGTACCAGCTACCATGGTGTGTAATACTTAAAAGAGCAAAGATGTTATTTTACATGGGTGGAGACTGAAACCCACATTTCAGTGACAGCAACAGAAAATGTGTACCAACTTCAATGGAAATGGAAGCTGTCCTAGAAAAAGATTAAGTCCACAAGGTGAGGGGAGGTGGGGGGATGGCATGACACACACAGGAGAAACCCACAAGTGTTTAGAAGTGTGGGACAAGTTATTACTTCTTCTACATGGCTCTAACTCACGCCCCTCTTCTACATCTGTGGTAATTTCTCTGCAGGGTTATTAATGAGAGGGAGTCTTCCAAATGAGGGGAAGAAGGTGAAGGAGGGATCCTAGGTGCCATGAATACTGAAAAGACAGACCCCCTCTTGTGCAGGAGAAAACTCAAACTTCCTTCTACAGGCATTTTTCCTGTCAATCTTCTGCCAAGTGTAGTTGCAGTTTGCTCTTCATAACATACCTGATATGCTCAGTTTTGTAAAGCAACTGTCAGTCAGGTGTCCCTTTGGATGTAAGCCCATGGCCAGTTTGGCCAGTCTCTGTCCAAGAGGGACCAACTATGTGTAGCAGATCCCACCTCACCACCTGCGGAAACCTAACCACAATATTCTGCTGAGCAGCGGCCATTCACTTTGCTGGATCAAAATTTACTTCTGAAAGCCAATTTGCACAAGGTGGTAAATGCATCCACCTTTGCTTTGTATTGATCATACTGAGAAGATACTTTCTGTTTGCTTTCAAAAGCAATAAAAGGCAAAGAGCATTCTAATGCAATTCTAAACACCATTTCAACAGTTGCACTTGATTTTAAATAATAAAGTGCGGCAGGCTGTGCCTTTTTGCTGTGAGATTGTATAGAGCTTAAGACAAGTGAATCTACAGTTCATGCTTTTGCGTAATATAAATCCCAGCAGTAATGGTAGTTGTAATTGTCTAACTTCCTTTGCCACTAGAATGCATAACAGAACTCACTTTATCATCTCCAGGTAGAAATTCTGCTCTTAGGGGATACATAAAGGGGAAGATCCAGGAATGTTAATAGATGTAAGTGTGCAAAATGATGGCAGCTCCGTTACTTCCACTGGGCTGATCAGACATGGCTCTTCCATCAGCCATCCAGCACCCTGTGTAAAGTACTACTCACCTTTAAGCATGTGAACAGTCATAGTGAAGTCAAGTTTGTAAGTTTATGGATAAAGCATGCACTTCACCACTCTGCTGGAAAATCAAGGCCTATGGATCCATGCTTCACTAATCATGCTTCCAATCTTAAAAGCAGAGAAAACCTCAATACGCTGGTAAGAGAAAGATCACCCTTATAAGGCTGCACCTGAGGGGAAACTGCCTTTCCAGAAAACTGAAGACCTCATTTTGCAGTGCAGCTCCTGCAGGCAATATAGCCACTGAGAAAATTCAAAACTTTATATACCATTAAAATTCTTTTTAGTGTGACATTTTCTGACTAGCATTAGCATAAATCAGCCATGTTTAGAAAAAACATTTCACTAAAATTTAAATGCAAAAGAATAACCCTGTGTTCTAAAAATCCTGAAAATACACAAGAATCTGCAATAGGCTCATTGCTAATACCGGAATTATCTTCATCTTTGCGGATCTTTAACTTTACAAGGTCCTCACAGTGCTGAAGGATCTGAACAGCATCTTCCATTGAGCAATTGTCAAGTCGAATGTTATCTATTGCAAGCAACTTATCACCCAGTTCAAGCGTCCCAGTTCTGTGAACAAGCAAACAAGCTTACATGAAATTCTAGGAACATTAAACCAAGATATCTTAGAAGGTATGAACATTATTATAGAAACGAGATGGATTTTTTAAAACAATTATTTCTTAATATGCTGGACATTTCATTTGTAACTGCTGTTTACAAAATAAAAGCACAAGTCTCTTACAAGCTCCCTCCGTTTGAGTCTGGCTGGCTACACAACGGAAACACATTTTTACTGGGAGCTTAAATGTCTTACCTGTGAGCAACACTTCCTTTCTTGATATCAGAAATAACCAGAGGGTCCCCTGGTTTTCTACTGGATGGAGCTGTAATAAAGAATACATACAAGTATGTGGTTTTTATTTCTAGAGATGCAGATGGGCTACTTCTGTCCATAAATCAATATTTCATACACATTATTTACCTGTATTATATTTCTCTCCTTTCCCTTGTACATGAATATAAACAAACAGCAGCAGCATATTAGTAAGACTGCATATTCTACTTCTCAAAAATTAGAGAATGCCAGAATTAAGGTGACTGGTGCAAAGTGAATTTAACCTGATATGTCTGAATTCTGGGTTAGGCCAGGACGGAACCATGCGAAAATATCGCAGTACAGCTCCAGTGATCTATCATAAAATGCTGTGTAGCTACAACACATAAGGAAGACTTTCTGTTAGCAGAACCTTTCAGCACAACTACTGATGCTTATCTTTTGCCAGAATATTTCTGTCAGTCATAAATCATGTTTTATTATATCCCTGACCAACAGAGCTGCTCTGGCAAAATATCTAGAGTGGGCTAGCCCATGTTCTTTACATCCATTCCTGTCTCATTCAGTGCTTAAGGCAGAGATATGAAGATAATGCTTCCTGGGTGAGAAGGAGGAATCTACTTCACAATGAATGAGATGCTGTGGGTAGTGGCCATGCATACCACTGGGCTGATACAGAGTTATCACATCCACACAGATGTATTTTACATCACATGGATGCTTGCTTCACTGTGACTCGTTGCTTCCTCTGAAGTAAACATGTACCTCTTTTGATGAGTAACCTTGCTCCTCTATACTGCTGCTGGGCCTTAAGCATTGTGGACTTTTCCCCACTTTGTACTGGGGATACCTACTAGAAGCCCTGCGATTCCAGCAATGGTCAAATTAGTAAAACCCCCACCAGTCCTCTCCTTGCACACCTAACTCATCTCTTCTTGGACAATTTTCTATCTGTCCATCATGGTTAAAAGGATGCTCTGCTGTACAATGCCAGTCATTGCAATCCTTTACTGACTTGTGCAAAAGTATTTGACAAGTTTCCCTTGGCCAGGAAATTTGCTTAGCAATTTTGCTTGACTTTTGGTTGCGTAGGAAGCAGTTAACTACCCCAGAGGAAGAAGACGATGATTACTGACTGCTTCCAGAGGACTGTTTCTTGGAGCAGCTTCACTGAATGCATTGTTTTGGAGGGTTCATCCATTTGCTGACAGAAGACTGCGCTGAAGATATGATATGGTAAGTAGTGGGCTCAGAACTTGAGGGTGATGAAAGATACATTTTTAGACAACAGTGTGGCACCTGCTCTCTGCCATTGGGAAGTATACCACCTACAGCTGCTCTGGCCAGGAGGTAGTCCATGTGGTAAATGCATACTGACTTTTGATTCTGTTGTTAACAAAGAGTGTGCTAATACTAAAACATTGCCACGTGGTGTAAGGCTCTTAGCTCTCCTGAAAGCGCTAATGGTTTTTGCACATGTAGGGCTCTTCAACTGCCCCAAGCCATTTCTGCTCTGTGTACTGAGGCCTCTGCATTCATTCACAGAAGGTACTTTTTCATTAGGCTCCAATGCCTGTAACTGATAATCACCCAAAAAGCTACCATATTCGAGGATCACCTACAAAATCCTGATGTCAGTTACTTTAGCAGCTAATGATTCTTCTCTGTGATGGAAAATGACAGATCTTCACCTACAGCAACCACAAGGTGTATTAATAATGACATTTCCAATACAATATTCTAACAGATCTTGTTAACCTTGGCTGCCCTGGCTGAGAAAGCCTTTGAATGTCCAAAGGAACTGTTTAAGAACTGCTAAATAGCCATATTTCAAATGCAGTGTCTTGAAAGTCCAGAAGACAGACATACAAGGACTTAAGAATTTCTAGAAACTTGTCTAAAACAGCACACTTTCAGGAAATGCCTATGTTGCAATTTAGAGAACAGCAATTAACTTTTTGCAAGATGTGTAATTTCCATAGCTTGTTTCTCATACTTTCACGCCATGGGTCAATTGTATCTTATATGACAGTTCCATGATTTACTTGAATTCTTTGGGTTTGTTTCACCAATTAGTATCTTGTTAAAATTTTAAAGTATCACTTTGGCGAACGTTTTTTTTTTAATTCTACATTTTTACCCTTGCTTTATAAATGAGTTGCCTTACAAATCTCTGAGGTTATATGCCACCCATTGTACAATTTCTGCAGTTTGAGATTTGAGTATTGAGGTAGTTTTTATGAAACTGCTCTATAAAAATTACCAGTACTAAAGAAAACAGTCCATTATTGTTCCAAAAAGAAGAGAGAAGGAACCAAAACGGGGCAAAGAGCACAGCTCAAAGTGCAAAGCCACAGAGTACATGTGGATGCAAAGGGTACGATATTGCACACAAAGTTATTACAGTTTCAAACTGAGTAAGTGTGAACCAGCGGTATTTTGTCAGTTATCCTGGGCTATTAACTGTGTCTGGTGGATGAAAGCCTTTTTGTAGGCAGCAAACAGAGCTCAGTGTGAAATTAATCCCCCCATGCTGACAAGCCCTTAATAAGCAGCTACACCATACTTTGTTTTATTCTTGTTCAATGCTCGTGACATACTTGCTACAAACTATTCAAGTTGTGTTGCGGAGATAAAATCATTAATTTCCTCCTGAACTTTTGTACTGCACATCACCACAGCCTAAGATTGCCTTCCAAACACTAGCGAACAGATGCTGTCCCCAGCAAGAAGATTGAGTACTATTATCCTGATTTTACAGATGAGGAAAGGAAACACAGGAAAATTTAGGTCAAAGTATGACAATTTTCAGTAAGCAATTTGAGATATCCATGCCTTTATTTCTCACAATAGTTTGTAGTATATAACTGCTTCTATGTCCAAAGCACTACTACTGGCATTTTCAGCAACAGCTGCAGATGCTCAGCATTTCTGCAAATGTGACCCCAGGATCTCAATGATTTCCACAGAAAATCAAGCAGCCACCTGTGGAAAATCTCTCTCTCTCTCCCCCCTTTCCCCTCCCCGCCCTGTGAAATGACTCGTCTCAGCACAACTCTATTGCAGAGAAAAGGGAAGAAACCCTAATTTCTCCAGGGTAGCATTAAACCATCTTGACCATGAGATCACCTCCTTTTTCTTTCTGCAGTCCTCCACCTCATTCATTATGCAGCCTCCATCCCCTCTGATACACACCACTGTTTCATCTCTCCCCAGAGAGCAGAGAAGCAAGAGTCCCAGTGAGAAAGTAGTATTTGACCACTTAATTAAAAAAGATATCCTCATGAATTAACGCAGTTTGAAGTGACACTGTACAGCTCTAGGTCTCCATTTTTATGTTTCTTTTCAGAATTATTTTTGTTTTTAAGAAGCAATTAAAAACAAAGCACCTTACCACTCACCCATGTCCAGCCTTCTTGTTCAAGTCCCAGCTTCCCCTACCCCTGATCACACCTCAGCCTCTCCCCTTGTCTGCTGTCTCCCCGTGATGGCTCTCCACTCATTTTCTCTTCTTGTCTCATTCTGCTTGTTCACTGAAGATCTCGTCTTTTCTCCTCCCTGGTCCAGCTGTTAGTCTACCTACTGTGGAGCTTTTTAGAGACCTTACACAGCCTGCATGATGAACTACAAGTGGACTGAAGAGTGCATAAAGTTGTACAGATACTAAATTTATTGTTGCAGCTGGAAGGCTGATCTTTAGCAAGTTGTTTGTTCTCTTTAAATTACTCTATGATCCTAGGTCTCTGTCCCAGACACACTTCCCCTGCCTATCCCCCGCTACCCGAAAGGCAAGTTCAGAGAGGTGTTGTCAGTTTTGTAGATCAGCTGTTCCATTAGGTTAAACTCTCAAATAACCCTCCTTTCTTATTTCACTGCTAACCCAAAGAAAAAAAACAACATGATGTAAACAGATTTCAGGGTGGACATCTCACCTACCACCCAGCCAAAATTCACTTACTAGTCTCAGCCTGGCTTCAAGTTTTGGAGTTTGATCAAACTCTGAACAAACTGAACAAGCAGAGGAAAATGCTCATGGGATGGAAAAGTATTTTTTATACAAAGTCAGTCCACTTATCCACAACGCTGGTTAACTGCTACTAGACTTTTAAAGTAATAATCACTAGTGTGATTATTAAATATATGAAAGAGCTTTTTAAAATTGGACTGATGTAGCTCTTTTGTTCCTTAAGTATTGGTTCATGTGGAGCAGCTGAGAAACCTGCTGATTCTTCAGGCCCCATCTTGAAAATAATTACTTGTAACATTGCAAAATGAAGTTGAGTTTGCTAGGTGAAATCCCAAAATATACAGAAACATACTTTAGAAAGTAAATTCTCATAGTCAACGCTAAATATCTGTAGATATTTACAAAGCTTGTTTCTGATGAAATACAAAAGCAATAAAGCAGACTATAGTATAGCTGCTAGTCAAAATGACTTAGAAAAACTGATGATAGTTTGGGTGAGATTCTGATATTTTTAGCAGCTTTGCAGCTTCTTAATCCTTGCATAGTCCCATTAGCTTCAGAGAGATTATTTATGAAGCAAGGTGCTGCAGTTTATTACCAGTAAGGATATCAGAATCTTACTTAAGAAAGAAAGAAAACGAAAAAAAAAGAGCTGTTAACTACAATTACCAGACTGTACTAGTAAGTCATTTTCCCTGACATCACATTTAAAAAATACTAGTCTATGATAAAGTAGCCAGTGGCACAAAAATTTATCTTGAAAAAAAATCTAAAAATCTATATTCCATTACACAGCCTAAAATCAATGTCACTGGCAGATAAATTGGATCAGATTTGAACAATACTAGATCTACTTGAAAGCCATCCTTCTTTTAGGGAATGGTTCTGTTATAAAAGCATAATCACACACACATGGACACTACTGTGTCATGCTTTATTTGGATGATGTAATTTTAAGAACTAAGACATTCTAATTGCTCCAACCAGGTAACTGGGTATGAAAATGATGGTACCCGAAGCATGAAATATATAGTCAATCATATTTGCAAACTATGAAATAGGGTCTTTATTGAATGTGAGTAGCTATTAATGGGAAGATCAGACAGATATTGCAGAGATAAGGGAAGGATGATAGGATGATAGAAGTCCAGTATCTGTGAAGGCAGCAATGGGCAAGGCCAGCATACTGCAAGGTAACCAACATGCACTATCCAAAACTCAGTGCCCTGGATTAACATTAACAGTACGCTCATGAAACTTTCTTCTGTCTTACTTTCTAAGGGTTTCTGCTATCTAAGAGGATTTTGAAATTTTTTTGTTTTGCTTTTTTTCTTGCATTAATAAATCTGAAACTAAGAGAAGCTTAGTCTCTTTCCTCAATTAGCTTAATTGTCTTTACTGTTGTGTGTCACCTCAGATATGCTTTCAAGTACCTGCTGTAAGACCATGCAGGCACACTTGGTGTTTATTACCAAGGAAAACAACACAGAGCAAAGAAAGAGCAATAAATTCCTCTTCCAGGATGTCTGCCTCCTAACAGCTTACTTAGACGAACTCTTGGACTTAAAAATAGGCGTATGTTCAGGTGCCAGCCCGAGGTGAGGTTTACATTTCCCTTCTGACAAAAAACGTCTGTCTTGTCTGCCAGGTCAGGTCATTTCCCGACTTTCTCATCCAAATCCCAAACTAAACTGGGGATATGGAAAGCAAGACAGGCATTTCTCTGTAATGTTTTTATAGTGACAGCACTTTCTCACTCACCATTAATCTCCACTACCTTGAGAAGAGAGAGGATGAAACAGGTCTCTAGCACTTAAACAGATGAAGCCCAAAAATGAATAAACCTGATCTCCTTTATCACCCCTATTTAAGCCTGGTTATACCAACTCTGCCAAGTTTCCCTTAGTATTTGTTTTTTAAAAGAAATCATATAGCTGACAATACCAGTAATAAATAGCATGCTACTGTGCTAAAGTGCCCTGACAAAAATTTTACAAAATTAATATAAAGTGCTCATATTTTTCAAATCACACTGCCTCATTTAGGAGTTAATTAGGTAGAACAGAGAAAAGTACTGAAAAGCAAGCATGGAAATGCAGCAATTCAAGACTTCTACCAAGCAAATTTACAAACTTTCAGTTATTAGTATAAATCCTTTAAAATCAAATAAATACATTATTCTTAGACACATTTCATATGCATTAAATACTACAAATAAGTGGTATTATTTATTATAACAGAAAATTTAATTTAAATACTAAAGATACTGCAGTATACTGAGAAGAGCAGAGCTCAGACCAACCAGGTGTCACTCTGATTATATAAAGCACTAATTTTACAAAGCACTACCTTTTGGAATTAAGTTCCAATTCAGAAAGGTTTGGAAGAGGAGTGCTAAATACTAAATCCCAAGAACATTACCTTTCCATTCAAAGTTACTCCCACAGACAGAGAAAAGTACAAGACGTCTGAATTCCAAAAAGCAGCACAAATCAAATTACTAGGAAGACCGTATTTTTACAATAATCCTACAAACCATTACTGATCCTAAGAATAACATTTAAATAGAACAGCCTCTCTCCAGGTTTTCTCATTTCTCAATATTTTCATTTGCACAAATACATGTGCAAATGAAATTTGCTTCAAGCATCACATCACATCTTATAGAATCTAACAATTACTCATTCAAGTGTGCAATGCAAGCAAACAGGCCTGCAGTGTCTCTCATTTGTTCCTCAGATGTAATTCTTTGCACCGAGTTCCCTGCTGTACTTTTGATTAACCTTATTCCATCGTGTTGGTAAAAGCTTTGAGAATATAAGTCAAAGCACAATCTTCCCCCAAGACACATGAGTAACTCCAAAGAAAGACTAATAGTCTAAGAAAGGCCACAACCGTAAAGGAATGTTAATTCCGGTGAGACGAGATTCTGCACTGTCATTAAGTACATTAAACACAAGCCCACTAACTTTGATATGGATTATTCTTCCTTCCATCAGGGGCTGAACTTGGTATGCTGGAGTTTACCTGGTCAAAATCCTGTCCTAACACAGTGTTTACTGTCTGCTCGCAAAATAAGTAAGTATAGAAACACTTTGATTTCAAACAACAGTAAAAAATACTTTTTGAGAAACAGACTAATGCACACCCTTGTTATCTTCTTTAGCAATCTCTGAAATCCCTAGTGAAAGGGGATTTTGCTATGTGACCTGCACATTTAGGACTGCCCAGCAGTCTTACAGATTGAGGATGTATCTTCAGACTCTGGGTTCTGAAGCAGAAAATAACCGCATATATGTGGATCCTCATGCCTGTGAGAATCCTTGAGTTCAGTGCAGTTCTTTCAAGAGCCTGTAAGAGACCATGACAGACTTTGCTTTAAACTTCCCAGCTATGGAAATACTTTTGCATGGGCCTAATTCTATTGACTTATTTTTTTCTTTTTTTTTCTTTTATAAATAATTTTAATGGGAGTTAAATATGTGCCACGCATGAAGGAATAGGTCAAGCTTTAGGCCTGGCAAACTTGAGGCTTCTTTAACTACTAGAAGGCTAAGTCTGTTACAGAATAAGTCTGTTACAGAATGGTATTTCATCAGAGACAGAGCATTGCTATTCATCCCTTTCTAGAAAAAGTAAAAGGAAGTTTATACCAAAGCAAACATAAGTCTATAGCTACAGGACCTACTATCTGTAGATTATACCATAAACACGGTCTTAAAAATAAGCACTTTCACTTACAACTTATGGTGATGCCAAGTTCCACATTATGCTTCTTTGGTAGTTTTACATGAAATGTTCCACTGCTTGGTATAACTGATTCTATAAAAAAATATTTAAAATGTTAGATAATTTATAAGGCACAGCAATTCCAAGTGCACAGAACTATACATGTAAGTTGATGAAATCACATCAGCGTCACAAGCCACGGATGAAACACGGGCGCTGAAGTGAAGGAAGTAGGACATACAAAGTATGATTTACGCATCTATTGGTAATTTCACGGTAACTCAATTTTTTTTAAGGTTTAACTGAATTTTTTGAGATTGCACGGGCCAGCAGCCAGCTGAGACTGCAGGTTTTTAGCTTGTATGCAAATTCTGCGAGCACACGTGAAAATTTTAGTGCTGGCAGATAACTTTTAATTAAAAGGACAAAAGATCAAGTTTTAAGGATTTCAGGCTTTTGTTGCTGTAGGTCTAACACATTTTTAACTGTCCACTAAGGTAACTGCCATGGATTCTACATCCACTGGGAAGAAAACGAATCAAAACATCACTAATGGAGAAGTGCCTGGAGCTGACTGAGGCAAAAAACACTTAAACATGCAGCACTGTATTTGAATCCTGGCTTTTGGCATCAGTGCTAGCAAAAGTTTGGGCCTTGGCCTGAAAAGGAGCGATTGAAATTACAGCTATGGAAACATATGAATACATACATGTGGCAGAGAAGTCTAACCATGAGTATGAGTCTGCTGTCACGGAGCAAATGGGAGGAGCACAAACAAATCCAGGGACTAAACCACATGTGACTTCAGGTGTATTTAGATGACTTTCTCATTAGTTGTTTTTCTTATTTTTTAATATTTCATTTGCTATGTATATGAATGTACATATTGTATTTGGCTTTTTTTTTTAACATTATACTAGATGTGCGCAGACTAAAAGATTATACAGACTTACTCTAGGAACCTTCAGCCTGCTTTTGACATCATGATTTATAATACCGTTAACAATAATTACACTATGCAAAATACAGCACATCTGACATTGTCATGACTTCAGAGGAGCTACTCTCAGATGAACACAGAAGTCTTAAAAGTTTTTAGGATTTACATAGTGGGGCACATATATAATGTGTACTTGTTTGATTTACACAATTTGTGATTTTATAGGTGTATTCTGTATGCTTAAACACATTACAGAAGAAAGGAAAGCCATTAGTAATAATAGAGACTCACCAGCAACATTAACAATTATTTTTCTGGCTTTTATTAATTCAATTTCTATTATTTTATTTAGATTGTTGGTTTGAGATACTGTAAGTGAAACTCTTTGGAGTTTTCTGCTTATACACCCTTTTATAATACTTTCCTGTCTAGTAAAACATTTCATTAGCTCGCCTGTAGAGGATTTGTCTGGGCTCAGCAGAATATTTCTATCTCAGGGCAGAAAAATGTCCGGAAATAACTCAGAGGAGGGACTGTCACCAAATCTTACTACAGGATTTGTCATTTCTATTTGTGTTCTGAAGCATGCTGCAGGGCTACGTGAAATGAGAAAGCTTTACAAGAAGGCACACGTTTCAAATAGGTCACTTGAAAACTGAATGGTGTATGTGAGAAGAAAGTCCCCACCTTGGATGCCTAACAGTCGCAATGTACTTGGGATTTACTCCTTCACTTTTCTTGCAAGACAGAATAACAGTACATTCATACCTGCAACATCAAATTCTATTTCCAAAGTGACCTTGTTGGTGATAGAGGAGTCTCTGAGCAGTTGATTGGCCTCATCAAATGTGCTGTCTTCCGTTGGGATACCATTTATTGCCACTATTCTGTCTCCTATTTGCAGCACCCCACACCTTGGTACACAATGATACAAAACTATCATCAGATGCGCACGTTACCAGAACCAGCAATATCAAACACATTCAACCTAACCTTGAAGGAGAAGTGTGGCATAGCAGCTCAACAGTCTACCCAGACACAGGGTGGGGACAGAACCTGCTGCTGCCCCTTTCCACCAAGACGCTACCAAGCACTCCCAGCACGGGCCGTGCTCTCGAGGTGCTGGGACCCAGGAAGAGGGGCACAGCCTTCATGCCTCCACCCCACCCTCTGCCTCTGACCCTGGGCTACGGGTGTTGTAGCTCTGCAATGGCAGCTAGTACTTGCCTGTGCAACTACTATTGTTCTCATGCCCTGATGAGACATACATAAGCATAAAAATGCAATTGCAATGCTGCAATGAAATCATTAGTAAGTCAAAACTCTGGTGTTCCCTAAGATTTGGTTCTGCACCAAAACTGAACAGAGCTGGATATGGCCTCCCCCCATGGCACACTGAATTATTACTATTTTGACTTCAGTGATGCTTCTGAATTTTTTTTTTCCTTTTGCATGAATATAGCTTCCAGTCTCCTGCTGGAGGACTCTGGATGATAAAAAAACCTGGTGCTTGTCATTCTTCTTACAGCTGATCAAGCATGTGAAGTATCATTGTCAGAACAGACAGTTTAGTACTTGCCACACTTCCGTCGAGCAAGGCCCTGCAATTTATCACAAATCGAAAGCAACAAGCCCAAAGTACCCCAAGGAATGCTCACCAAAACGTACTTAGCAGTCATCTGAAAGAACCTCACCTTTCTGCCGGACTGTCAGACTCAATATAGGAAATGAGGGGTGGAGAAGACAAGGTCTCAGTAGCAAACACGCTACCCTGGAGCTGTATCCCAAACCCTACTACGGGGTCAGCTGTCAGTACTACTTCTGTGGTTTCTGTGTGGACGACCTGCCCAGCCAAACCAACAGTGCTAGAGGCTAAAGACACTATAAAACAGAGCAGACCAGGAAGACAGACATTCATACACAGCAGACATTTCATTGCTCTTTGAGAAAATTGATTTGTACAATAAACCTAATCAACAAAACATGTCTTTTAAAGTCAATTTAGGCTAAAGCTTATAAATTATATATAAACCGTTATGACATATAAGAAAACAGAAAACTTCTGGTTGTATGTTAGAATGCAAAAAGATAGTTCTTGTACTGAGTAAAATAAATGTGTTTGACACCCCACCCCAAAAATCTCAGAACATCCTTGAATTCTGTTTGCATTAGGTTTGAGGTGTGCATGAGCAGAATTTCCACAGGAGCTAAGGGAACTGGAGGCACAAGCCCAGCTGTTATTCAGGCCGATTCCCACGGGCTCTTTTGAATATCTCACAGCAATGCATTGTTGTTAGCAACAAAGCACATGGCCTAGGCTTGCTTGCAAGAAATAAGAATGCCTTCCTCTTGTACATGTTTACTACATGTCAGCAATTTGTCAGGCTAACAGTGTAAGTTGAACGAACCCCTCTGTTTTAGCAATCAGTATATCTCAAGAGATTGTGAGAAAAAATGTTCTTTGGGGTCTCTCAAAGGAACTGGCAAACTCTTCTGTGAGAAACACAGGCAGCTACTTCTGTACTCCTGATTTACTCCCTCTCTCTATTCTCACTCTTGTTCTGAACAGGCTGCATTACAGAACAAATCAAGATAAAAACAACATTGAGATTCAATGCAATTACCTATGAAAGGAGGAGACTGCACCTTTGGTTCTTCGATCTCTGCTTAAGAGCCTATTGTATCATTGTTCAAATTCCCCTGGTGGCAGACTACTGTCTTTCATTATGTCATACACAGAAAGCTAGAGTTTTTCAATTCCTGTTCAGACCAGTAAAGTAATGGTACGGTATTGTAATGATAATCCTCCAATGCTGAGGATTCTGAATGTTTTCATGTTATAAATCTACGCTATTACGTCTCCACCTGTAATTTCCTTCAAGATCCATTTCTGCCTTCAGTAGCTACTAAGAATTAGATAAAAGTTCAAGGTTTATCTGAGGGATAGTTTAGTTCATGGTTTATCTGAGGGATTGTTAAAGTGTGGATTTTTTTTTTTCTTAGATGTGAAAAAAAATTAGTTCTTGTTCTTACATTATAGGTAATATTAGCACAGCTGTACGAAGTTGTCAGAGGTTGTATAAGTATTTCCTGCACCTTGGGGCTACAAGCATTAGAATTTTGCTCTGAAATAGTTAGTATAAAATCTGATTAATGTGGCACAGTCGGCAATAACAATTCTGTTGCAAAGGTTTCACTGGCCAAAAAACTCATGGGTTTCTGTTTTCTCCCAGCAAAGCTCCTTTCAACTCTGAAACCGTCTTTTCTAAATTACTGTGAATTCTCAGCCATCTCTTGTTTTCATTTTCCTCTGCAAGAACTGCGTATTATTTCACTTATTCAATAGCTTCCTTTTTACTGTTTCTTTTATCTGCACTGAGTAAGACATGCTCATACCCAAATGCAAATATTAATAATCTGTTCTTAGAAATGGCCACCAGCTTTAGCATTTACTGCATGTGAGAAATAGGTTTCTCCAGCCCTCAGCGTTGCAAGGGCTAAAATATGGCTAAACCAGATAAATTCAGAGTTAATATAATACCGGATCCCCTAACACACCTTCTGGAAATGTCTAAATTTAGGGCATCCAAGCTCAGAAAAGTTCCATGCTCCCTTTCTTTAAGGTCATACAACAATTACTTGTTAGCTGCGTCTGTGTCTCCCATCATTTATGTGTCCATTCCTCTTCTGCAGCAGGCATCTAGCTGACTCTTCAGCTTTCTTACTCTTTTTCTAATACCGTACCAGGAACCTAAAGGTCTTACAACATTTATTTCAACTTCTAGGACAGCTAAGGTCCTACTGGGGGCCTTTCCTAGTAATTTCATACTGGGAAATTAAGTTACTCTTTGTGGGACTTAAAACGCACCCTGATAAATATTTTGATGATGTGCATGCTCAAAAGTGACATTTAGGAACTCCTCCCACTCCCAAAGAAAATGAAACAGAAACAGGAACAAAAAAGGCAGAGATGGAAATACCCTTTCCAAATCATGTAACAACAGCTATCTGCTAAGCCTCTATAAAATGCCACAGGTATCCAAAACCATGATTTAGAGCATGTTGGGGTTTGTAACTCAATAATAACTGCAGCAAGAAACACTGCAATTTTTTTTTGGCTGCTTGATGAATTCGAAGTTTTACAGGCCAGGAAGCAGCCTTATTGCTTTTAAAAAGGGGCATGAATGCATATGTGGTTCCAGTGAATCCTGGTTGCTACTGCTAGGGGTACATTTTAGCATACTTGTACAGTTTTCGTCCAGCTCTTAGCAACAGTCCTGGGGGCTGGTTTACTATATGCTCTGCAGTTATGTAAGTAATAATCTTGAATTTAAAGATTATGTACTTGTTCATTTTATTCCTGCAGCTGTATAAGCAGCAGAGCAAGATGCGTTTAAAGGTATGTATATGGATTATTATGCCTGCAGCCTCCCGCTCTGACCCTTGAGAAACTGCAAAACGTTCACTATTCCTCCTGATAGCAGCTAGCTTGGATGTGCTGAGAAAACAGCACCCGTGCACATTTAAGACCCTCTCTAATTTCTACCAGGTATGCAGCCCTAGTAACTATCATGTAAGTTGGTATAAAATTGTGTCTCAATTTCAACTACTAATATGGACCTATTACAAAATACTTCAGGATTTAAATTTTAACCAAATAATAATCTAAGTGTTTCCACAATGAATACCATACTTTAAAACCAAAAAAAGCAGAGAAAGAATAAAAAAGCACATGACAGCAGGGTATGCCTTCAATTTTTACAGCCACGTTTGGAAAGATCTGTGTAATTAATGCACTGATTGCAAAATCATGGCCATAAAAGTCTTGTAACCCCCTGTACCATCACACTTCATCATCATGCATTTTGGCATGATCACATTAAGTTATGCAGGTTTTCCTAAATAATCGGCAATGTAAACTTTACAGCACCTTTCACCAATACATCCTTTTTTTCCCTCATGACATCCTAAAAGATTTATTAAGAGTTACATTAATAAAGCCCTCAAATGATCCAATTGGATTAAAGAAAAAAAAAAAATCACTAAAATTAAGAGAGCATGCTACTTCTTTTCTATGAAAAGGACAGCAGTCAATGCTACCTGGTTCTCATGAGTCTCCCACAAAGGGAGAAGAGCAAGGTTTTCCAGGTCCTGTCTATGGATCGTGGAAGGGTACAGGACCAGTCATTCTCTATCATAGTGACTTGTAGCACATTCAATCCAGTGTGGGTCTCTTAAGTTGGCTGTTACTGCAGTCACAAGTACGGGTATAAGTCTAGCAACAGCAGTAAGAAACTCTGCGTGGGCTGAAAAGCAAGCTCGCAGAAAGGGCAAGCAAGCCTGGCTGGCCAGCCAATTCCTCCAAAGCCAGCCCTGATTCAGTGTTGCTTATACAGTCACTGCTTGTAGTGAGGCACAGACTCACTCAGTGATGGGGCCAGTTCCATATGCTCTATATCCATCCAGACCTCACAATGCAAATGCATAATAAACTACCCCACAACAAAGCCTCATCCTAATTCCTCCTAGCTAGAGATTTGTTTAATCATAGCAGCCTGGCATCCCCAGGGCCTTCTGACTTGAGGAATCTTTCAGGTGGGCTGCAGTGCTTATGTGACTGTCCCACTTCAATCTAGTGTCACTGGCCTTGTTCTGAGCCTTTGCAGAATAGCAAAGTGCAGGGCAAGGCTTCCTTGAAGGAAAAATATCTGAAAAATATAATAACACAAGTAACAGCTGTCTCCAAGATCCATAATAGGATTAGCTTTCAGGATTAACAGTCCTTTGTTGCATGGAACAGCTATACTATAGCACAGTCGAAGAACTATTTTTTGCATCAGCATTATTTTACTATTCAAATCAATTCGTATTAGTGTAACATTACTACTGTTTCTCATGTGCACATGAGGACATGTAACAGCTGAACCCCTACTGATACCATAGCACGGCTGGACGCACTATCTCCCCCTGACCCAAAAGAATGCATTAGAAGCTAACATGTCAACAGATGAGTTGTGAAAAATGGCTGATCAGATTAAAAATCAAAAATGCACTTACAGGCATTACATTATGTAAAAATATTGCTTTACAAAAAAAATAAGAACAAGCAAGCAACAAAAAACTGCAAGAAAGCAAAACCTCAGTTCCTCTCTCAAACGTTTCCTCTCAACTCCATAGGGAGGCTGCTGGTTTGCTCTGATTTTGCTACGACCATGGGAAATTTTTAATATGGGACAGCAGCGCTGCAATGCACAGCAACTCAGTTTTTCCAGAGTTGACCTGTGAGCATTATTAGCCAGAGCAGATGATATACAGAGCAGTTCTCACTTTCCTGCTCTGGAGGAACTGAGCTGCTGAGGATCACAGGAAGACGGACAAGCCAAAAGGAGAGATGGCACTTACATGGAGTCTGGGAAACAACGTGCTGATATAACCATACTTTCTCTGGCTCAGTGAATACTTTGCAATATGCAAAGTGGAACAGCCTGAAATATATCCACCCTGGCTTGGGAAATTACCGAACCTGGGAAATTCATGCTTTGAATCCCAGAGAGTGGTCAGAAACAAGGCTATTTAGTCTTCACTGTTATTTGTCGCTCTTCCTCACAAAAATGACTGTACAGGTTATGGTGTAGATGTAAAAATTAAAACTACCTAGGAGGTAGTGTGGCAAGCTCTTCTCCTTCCGTAATGCGATAGTTGGTTGAACTTACTCGCAATCTGTTTTTGACTATTCAGCTATGAATTCTATTCCCTGATGGAAATGGGAAGAGTTGAAAAAGGAATTTGAAAATCACTTCAGTAACGGTATAACAAACTCTTCCAGGATTGTCTGAAGAAAACATTGCTTTATACATTTCAGATGAGATAGTTAAGCCGCATGGCCTCTACTCATCTCATTTTAGCATTGGACAAATATTTTTATGCTGATGTTTCCCTACACCAATTGTTCTCTCTTCTGCCTAGTATATATATTAATTAAGGTACTTTGTACCTTTTCGCTGTATCTTCCCCCTCCTCCACCCATTCACTATACATTTTGAGCAAATGCTGTTACCACCTACAGGAGCTTTTGAAGTCCTTCTTTTTCATCCTCCGCCTCATCATTGTCCCACGCGGGCTGGTGGAGTAGAGGCTGCGAGGTAAGGTCCCCATGTTCAGGGAACTCAGGCTGTATGCACTCATGGAGGTAGGAGAGAAGGATGAAGACACCAAAGCTGCTGTAAGAAATCAAACACTTGGCACACAGCACTCAGTCTTCATGGAAGAGTGCGACACATGCCTGTAACTCATCAATGAATAAAATAATGTGTATGATGCACAGGAATGGTTTGTGCATTTCCAGTAACAAAGACATTAAACCACATAGGTGACCCTAGGTAAAAGTAAAGTCAGCATTTCATGAAAATACCTGCTGGAAGCTAATAACGATACTGTAGATTCAAAAAGTACATTCATAGTATACAACTTATTTTAGGCGAAGCACGTTAAATTAAATTTTTCAACACATATCCATGAACCAATGCAGATCAGTATGTCTAGATACACTGATTTTAGAAATGCCTTTTTTAGTAGGTAATTTCTGACAAAAGATTTGTAAGCAATGCTTTGCATTCAAAGATCGTGCTTTATATACACTACTCAAATCTAATGGTCTACTCTTATGGCTGAAGAGCTGGTTCACTGAGAATTTTCAAGCCTTTTCCTGTCTACAAAGGTTGCCTTGTTACAGAAAGGAAAAGGTGTAAAATGTCAGAAATAACCTTGGCATGGCTATGAAAAAGTGTAGCATCCATAAAACTGAAAAGGTTTTAGTGTCTGAAATGGGAAAAGTATGAGTGAAAGAAGAGGGGAGAGAGGAGGAGGAAGAAGAAGAGGAGGAGAGCAAAAAAAAAAAAAGTGTGGAACATTACGAAGGCTTTTTTGAGGAGGCGTTTTCTGAAATTTCAAGGCTGGCATCCTGCAATGGTCAGGGTGGTAGGTGTTATAATGGTGGTAGGTGAGGAGGCTGCTGTGGCTGTTGGCACACGAATCCCAGGTAAGTTGCCTGTTGCTTCTTTGAACCTTCACTGCCCGCATGAAGGGATGATGAAAAATCAGAAAACAAAAGGACCAGAGAAGAGGGAAAAGTAACTGAATTGCACAAACAAAAAAAAAGTCAAAAACCGAAAATAAATTGGAAATAAAATAAAATTAAATAATAAATAACCTGATCTTGTCTTCTTACGAGGGGGTGCTAACTTGAGGAACAGAAATGATATTTCTTCTCAGAATAAATGCTTCTGATTTTTTTTTTTTGTTTCCTTGTATTTATTTTTAAAAAGATTAGTACTGAATCAGTTTCTAATCTCCCTCTGGCTTTAGGAGCTAAGATTGCAAACTTACTACGTTTACTAAGAAAATACTAAATTATTATATATGACTACTAACTGAACGTTAATAAGTCTCTCCTTGCATTCATCTACATTAAAAAATAAAACCAGATACTATACATAGCATTGCCTAGAATGGAGATGTTTACTTGCCAGTCATTTCAATTTACTGCATTGACATTTTAATTTTGCCACCATCTATTGTTAGCATTAAGCTATTCTGTGCAGTAAATGACTTCCCTAGGCCAGCAGCACAAAAACTCTATCCTGACGTCCAGTTAATAAAGGAAAACAAAAACCTAGAGTTCTTATTGATTAGTTGGATGTGCAAATTAATGTTTTTTAAACTTGATCTTCAAAACTTTAGAATGATAATTTTCTATATGAAATCAGAGACAATATTTAATTGCTGATTCTAAGTATGGGGAGTCCGGGATATGCTAAAAGTGAAGGCCAGTATTTACCAAAAGAACGGGAAACATTTCAGCCAATGTGTCATATACTGAAGGACAACGATTGAAGTGACCTTCCACTAAATACAGTCTCGTCATTATTAAATTCAGCGTAGCCTTGTCCTTGCTGAACCTGTACAGGAACACTTCAAAATGGGAACTATTCACTGAATTTTTCTCTTAAAAACACCAAGGGACTCACCTGTGCTATGAAACTTGCTACTGCCTTTGGCCATGAGCTGCATTACCTGTGTCTCTCTGCTACCTGCTATATCTATAATGTCTGCAGACACATATGACCCCATGCTGGACTTCAACAGTAGCCAAAAATCTTGGCTGTTTAAGTTGGACCCACACCTTGAATTCACATGTTACTCCGTGAGACAAAATAAGGGGGAAAAGGGTAGCCACCACAGCAAGCACTGTGCACTGCCAGAAGAAAAGCTATCGTTTTGTTTCACTTCATATTACATGAGTAATTATCTGCTAATTGTCTGAATATATTAACTCAAAAGCAATGCCTGTCACTACAGCGAGGAGTACACACCAGGGAAGGGAGAGGAAAAGGAAAGTACAGGGGCCCACCATGTCCCCATGGCCTTGTGGGGCAGTTGGGACTGTGCCCCGGGCCTGCATCCCTCCCTGGGAGGCACCTCTGCTGTGCCCTGACACGTGTTTGAATCCAAATAATTAATTTTTTAATTTTTTCCCCCTCAACAGCTAACAAAGGTGAGGGTGGGGTGCGACACCAGCACCAGGAGTGCTCAGCGCACCGGCCAGCCTGCGCCTCAGAGTACCTCACCCACTGGCACCAGCGACCTCGGACATTTTGGAAAATCTCACGTCAGCCAGAAAAGTCCCAGAAACAGCAGCAGCAGCCTGTTGGCCATATGTATCTTACAGACTTATCGTATCTTCTCAGATGAAACCGTCTCCTTGATTACGTGCACAGACAGCAAGATTTCCAAACTTTAACTATGGTGTAAAAATTAAAATCTGATAAGAACAATATGGCCAGGTGGATTTTCATTATTTTCAAGTTGCTGTGAGCCTTATTTAATTAAAAAGACTGCTTCCAGCAGGAAATTATCTGGTAGTCTTTGATTTTTTTTTAATGTTTTATTTTCACGCTGAGAGTAGTGATAAAGATGTCCTACAAAGTGGGAAGGTACACAAATTCAGTTTGCTCAGCTTGTAGAAGGATAATCCCAATTCAACAAAAGTTCTGTAAAAGAAAATCCTATCATGTGTAACTGTAGTAATTTAGCAGTAATTTGATCTATTCCAACCCAGGGTTGTGTACAGTGAACATAAAACTAATGGGGCAGCAAGAGAAATGAATGTTAGCAGCACAGTATAAAGGAAAAAAACACAAAAAAAAATCTGATCTTTTATACTGCTCTCGATTTTATTTTAGGGCTAAAATTTCAATTTATTTTATATACTGACTTTCCTGCCCATTTTAAATTCCTAACATGTTCCCATAAGACCAATAACTGAGCTCAACAGATACAGCCCTAATGACTCAGCTTATCCCAGGCACATAAAGGGAGCTTTTCAAACTCTGCAGCATCTAGACCATACCACACCTGATGAAAGGCTGCTTCCAAGAGGGTACTTGCTTCCATAAAACATGTTACACCTTGAATTGGTTGTGATCTTGGAGTAGCACCACCTGGTGAGGGGCTGGGAAGGGCTGTAAACATCCTAGTTATTCTGCTTTACTTCAGAAAGCAACTTTATTACCTTAGGGAGATTTCTCCCCAAAAGATGTGCTTATGTAGCTTTTGCAGATCCCCTTGATATGATTTCATAATGGCCAGTTCTTAACTATGGCGTGGCAAGAGCATCATTTTTGTAAGTATCTACATGGGGTCAAGGTGACTAGCACATTAACAGCATCAATTTGTTTTAAATGTTGGTTAAGAAACCAACTCCTTCAAGTAATACACAAATCTTTGGCCCTGGTACTCATCTTCCCAAAAGAAACACTCTTCAAAGGTTCTTTAATCAGCCAGAAATTGATTGTTTGACATCTTTGCTTCAAAAAAATGAAAGATCTGTTTGCAACGTACTATCAAAAATGAAAAGAATGGAAATATATTGCAAAATTTGGTCTCCATCTCATTCTGCTTCTGCAGTAACACTCCCTGCTCCCTTGCCCCTCTAAGTGGTTTAAATAGAAAGGGGAAAGAGGTGCAGCTGAATAATGAAAGAATATGGTATTTGCAAGAGTTACTTTTTGTTCACCCTGGTCTAGGAGAAACTAGGGTCTCCTCAGCCACTAATAGTTCAATATTCACCACTGACAAACTGACTAGAGCATCGCTTATCCAGGGACAGCCTGGATCTTAGATAGATGTCCAAGAACATTTACCATCACTAACATTCCTAGGCCTCAGAAATCTTGTCTTGGTCTAAAGGAAGCAGAAGCACACTACCACAGGCTGAGAAAATGGTACCACTGGTTCATGCTGCAACACAGATACCTGTTCTCTGTGTATTTGATAACCCTTGTTACTTCTTTGATGTCCATCAATATGCAGTATTTCAGACTGAATTTATGAATACTGTGAATTAGCCACTTTCTCAGGATTAGTTAGAAGACAAGATAGGCAGCTCCCATCTTCAAATACTAAGACATTTTATATATATTCGATTTGAAAATGGAAAGCCATTCTCTTCAAGCATGTTGGTATGAAATAAATATCATGGTGAAAAAGGGCTAGGATCTAGGGAACTGTTTCCAAACAAACCTTTTTCATAAGCACTGACAATGAACCCATGAAGCAATCTCAGAAGTACTTTAAAAAATGATGACAATTAATAATGCCATTAACAAGAGAAAATACAGGGTTTTTCTGAGGTATTTTAGGGGAGAACAGGTGTTATTAATGAAGTGGTCATAACAGACTATCAAGTCAATATGCTGAAAACAAGTTGGCTGTGGTCCTTCCTCCCCCCTCTAAATTTAAGAAGCAATTTAGAGATTCATTTACTGAAGTACCTAGTTGCCCCCCAAATGATTGCAACAGTAGAGTCAACAGGTGTCTTTATGTACATCTACAAGTGTGCAGAGCCATTTCTCAGTAAAACATTTCCCTCTCTATCCATAGGAATCTCAGAGGGTACATTAAGGCCAAGAAAACACAGAGCTTCTCAGAAACTGCAGAAGCATAACCTGGGGAGCTGAAACAGACACAACTGCCACGATAGCTTTCTTGACCATTCAGCAAGGGCTGGCAAATTAAAAGACAGGAAAAGAAAGGGGTATTTGGTGCTACAGATCCTCTTACCATGCTCCGGGCCTTTCAGTGCTAGCCGTGTCTGGTGGTGAGGAAGGATCTCAAGTTTGACATTATCCGCTGCATTAGCCAAAAACTGCGTTGCTTCTGCCAGCGTACAGTACTCCATGCTGGTGCCATCAATGGACAGAATATGGTCTCCTACATGTAATGCACCACATCTACATAAAAGGGGAAAAACTCGGTATGATCAGGTATGCTCTTTGCTTGGAAAATGAGTTTTACTGCCTTCAAACTGGTCATGACAACTATGAGCGTGTTCGTTTTTTTCAAGAGAGATTTGTGTTTTGTAGGCATTGTCACTGGTCAGACTTTATATCTATTAGTATAAACCTTAAAAACAATTCAGTTAATACAGTATATGCCAAGACATCACTCACAGAACTGGAATGGGGTAGCTGACTATAAAAATATGTGTGAATGGCAGCAGAATAAAATGAGAAGAGCTTAAGGAGACTCAAATATCTTGGTCACATATCCCTCACACAAGCACCCAGTTCATCATTTTTTGAGTTATAGTTCAAACATTTATTAGTACAAAAGCTGTAAATGACGATGAAATTATGCAGTAGTCAAACAAATAATGAAACCAGGGCTAGCATGGTGACTTGAGGAGTGGGGTGGGGAGAGGGGCTATCTGCTAAATCTCGCTGCACTCAAGAGACTGGCTACTGGATGAGTTGAGAAATGCAAACACAGCAGTCAGCATCCCGACGTACCAGTCAAGTGGACAGCTCCTTTAATTGGTTACCCCCTGCGAAATGGGAAAAAACAGAGGGAGAAAATTAAAGCATCCTGCACCATTGAACTGGAGAACACCCCTGGATCAATGGCCGTCACTCTCAAAGTTTCTACTGTAGGAAACAGAGGAGCTGTAGACTCACTGCTACAAGTGGGTGCTACCAAAAGCACCGTTGTCAAAGAGGAGTTACAAGGTAGGGTGACTGGGGACATGCAGGAGGAATTTGCTGCTGAAACGTAGTATTTAAGGATTTTTTAGATAGAGATATGTATATAGAAATATACTTACATGTATAAGCACATACACACACACACGCACGCACCCCAGAAAAGATCCCACAGCTCTGTTAACAGAGACTTAGACCATTGGGGAAAAATACCTATCATTTTTTTAATGGTTTAAATGGTTTTATTTAAAGGTTTAAATGAAGTGGAAAAATTACTGCAAAATAACTCCAAAATACAGAAGCCAGTCTTCCTAATACCTCAGTCATATTCTAAAATATCAATAAAAAAATCCAGAAATAAGGAGTTCCATTTCACTGTGCCACAAGAATGAGTGATATATTCTAAAAGAACACTTCAAGGTTGCAAAGCCTCGAAATTTACTTCCCTTGACAGCTGTTCCATATTGTATGCTTACTTTAAGAATTCCTGTGGGTTATTTATTTTTTTAAATACTAATCTCTGCTGCAGCATTACATTTAATAGTCAGAGCAGACTTCTAAACTTCCGTGTTGCACAGTGCAAGCAGACAGTCACACACTACATGGGGGCTGGCTTATGTCATTGAATACCATGTGAATGAGCTAAAGTAAATGGTGCCCTGGAAGTCTTAAACTCAGCTGTATGGAACAACGATCTGACAAAGTGCTAATTTTAAGACCTAGCAACCTTGAGAGCATCTGGTTCAATTAAATTCATCAAAAATGGGAGGGTTTCTTTAAAACCAAACCAAATGAAAGTAGAAATAAAATGGATGTATAGACCTGCAGTGTCAGCCCCCTATCACACTCACCTGTCTGCAATACTCGCAGATTTGATTTTGTCTATGACAATGACCTGTTTGTTGCAGCACATCGAGGTAGTTAGTGCAACCCCAAGAGCAGCACCAGGAGTTTTGGCAACTTCAACTAGCAGTGGACCAGACGCTGTTGCTACTGAATCTGTTAAAATTAGACAACAGAAGATCAGTATTATACCAATGTGGTACATTTTCATATTTTCCCACATAAAATCTCCATGGCTATTCTATTTATCTAACCAGACAACATGCCAGATAAAGAAATTACAGAATAGCATCAGTTTAGGTGTCAAGAATCAGTTCTTAATGTTGAAACCAATAAAAGCAAGAGGAGGTTTGTGAATCTGGAATGTCGGGAAGCTTCTAAGGATGTCAGAATCAGAGATGGACCAGGTTAGGGAACCAGGATGTGTTAGCGAATCTCTTGCACAACTAAGCTAAAAATCACCTGGAATTTAAAATAGGCATGCTGAAGAAACAGAATTAATAAAAAAAGTAGAAAATTATCTGAAAAAAAAAATGAACTGAAGTCAATAGGTTAGAGAAGGATGTTAAATTAATTTTCAGAACAGAAAGGGAAGGTCTGTGGACAACAGCTATATTAAATGAAGAAGGTGAAGCAAGGGTCTACTAGAAATCCCTCACAAAAAGAAAGGACAATTTAGGAGAAAATGGAGAAAGTGCAGGAGGCATGACAGCTAGAAATAGTAGGAGTTAAAGCAAAATGCATGTAAGGAGGTTCAGAAGATTCTTGTAATAGCCTGTCACTGGATAAAGTACTGACTTGCAACAGGGCACAGATAGTAAATGACCAACACTGAAACATGAAAGCAGAAAAATGAGAGGCAGGAACAGTCATGATTGAGGACTGTGGTGAGGAACTATGCCCAGGAGAGACAAGTGCTAGACAGAACAAAGGAAAAAGACAGCAGGCTGCTTCCTAATGCCAGAACAAAGCAGGCAGTGATAAGGGTGAAGTACATTCTGGAGACTGCCTGAGAATTCCTACTAACCTATACCGATCGATCAACAGCTGATCTCAGTGGAGTAAGATACAGTAGGCAAAGGTGTCCTTTAAGGACATAAAAAGACCGAGACAAAGAAAGTGATATCAGAAGCCTTTGGAGGTGCTTAGAATCAGAATAAGGAAAAATGAATAAGCAAAGACATGCTGGAGCAAAGTTACCAAAGATTCGTGTTCACAGAGTACTGGAGCCTGCTGTAAGAGTACTAAAAAAATGTTCAACTGCAATGTCTCTCAGAAGTCCCTAAGATTGAAGCTGTAAAAGAAGTGCAGCTGGGCTTCAATGTATGGAGGAAAAGACAGATGTCAAGATACCCCATTCAGTCTTAAATCGAGCAAATTAGTCCAAAAATGTAATTCTGACACAGAAAAGAAACACTGTGAAAGCAAGTATTATCGTACAAAACTAACAAGCTATATACCATGATACAAGAAATGGAATGAGAGCTTGATCAACTAACACTCAGCTCAGGTGCTCCTCCTAGTTAGAGCACAACATAGGGAAACTGAATATAGAAGTGTATAATACATGAAGTGAAAAAAGGTGCTTGGATGGAATAACATACAATACCAGTAAAGCATCAGTTAATTATTATAGAACTCCTTTTTCCCTCCACAACTTGAAATAATTTTTATATTCCTGTTGTCTTTTTCCAGTTAGAAACCTGAGGATTTGAAGGGGAGATTTAGTATTTTTGAAAGTGCCCATGAATTCTGAGTGATTCATTTTTGTGCCCAACTGGGACTGACTTTTTAAAGGCTGAACTTCCACAGGCACTACCAAAATAAGCTGCTCCATAAATCTGAACTGAACTTTAAATTGTGATCCAAAAGAAGAGAGTTCACCCAGAAGCATTCCAGCTTCAGGCACTAAGTAGCTTTAAAGTTGGATGAACTGCCCTCAGCAGCTACCTGTCTTTCTCTAGTCACTGAAGAAGGAGGTTACGGCAATCAAATTCCTGTCTTAGAGGGTCTTAGACCCTCTAAGGGTCTAAGTCTTAGACCCTGCTTAAGGGTCTAAGTAAGGCAGGATGCATGCAGTGACTTGCATACAGCCAAATAAGCATGTGCAGCAGAGCAGAATTTAAGAATTCCCGATTTCCATTCCTGCGCTGAGAAACAATTATTTTCTTCTTGAATATTCCAGTGGTTTCTGGAGCTACAAACAAGCTTGCATTTACAAACATATGGGAAGAAGACTCCAACATTTGTCATCAGTACTGTGACAGTACTTATGAGGAGCGGCTGAGAGAACTGAGGCTGTTTAGCCTGGAGAAGAGGAGGCTGAGGGGAGACCTCATCGCGCTCTACAACTACCTGACAGGAGGTTGTAGCGAGGTGGGGGTTGGTCTCTTCTGCCAAGTAACAAGTGATAGGACGAGAGGAAATGGCCTCAAGTTGCGCCAAGGGAGGTTTAGATTGGACATTAGGAAAAATTTCTTTACCGAAAGAGTGGTCAGGCCTTGGAACAGGCTGCCCAGGGAAGTGGTTGAGTCACCATCCCTGGAAGTATTTAAAAGATGAGTAGATAGGGCGCTTAGGGACATGGTTTAGGGGCCATGGTGGTGTTGGGTTGACGGTTGGACTCGATGATCTTAGAGGTGTTTTCCAACCTTAATGATTCTATGAAAGGTTTGAACTCACATTGATCACATTGATCCAGAAAATGGCAAAGCTCAATTTGTTATTGGCCTATCGCAAGTTCTTTCTGTAATGATTGCCTTGAGGAGAGGAGAGGAAAATAAATGCAAATATCTGCTGAGAATGAACAAATCTTTCAAGATGCTGCTCCAGAGTTACTTGAGAAACGCATGATCAGCTTACGCCCTAGCGTTATTTTGCATGTGCCTGCTGAAATGCAGAGAGAAGGCAAACCAAGGCAGACAGGATGAATAAATACGATAACTACATTAGAGGAACCAGAAGAAAAGAAATGGAGTGTGTCTAACTGTGGAAAATAAACACAAGGAAGAGAAATCAGAAAGCAATAATCAAGCACACATTCCCTGACAGAGAAGGATTAGTTTATCATGTTGAAATAAAGCATGGATATGAAAAATGAATCATACAGATATAAATTATTCATGCGTGAAGATGTTTCAATCATTAAGATATTTACACCGTGACTGAAGCACTTACACACTATGTTGATTTATTGGCTATGTAATTACATAAGATATACTGATGAATGTTTGCGTGAAAAATGCTCTAGATTTTTGATTTTGTTAATCATTTTTCTCACTTTTGAGCACTGCATCTCAATCAGTACAAGAGGCTTGATTAAAACCTCCCAGAGGAAGCAGCATTGCTTTCCGCATGCTAATACATTTCTTCAGCTAGATAGCAGCATACCTTTTTTATTTGACAGCTTAAATCACTGGCAACAAGGGGTTTTATTCTGAATATACGTTTATGATGCATAATATACTATATGACATATAAAAAGTTTTGGATAAAATAAGCAGTATCACCACCCTCCCTCACATCAAAAGATAATCACAAATGATTTTGAAAGTTGAAAAAAAATTTCTTTTAGCCTGATAAGCGACCACATTACAGGCATTTCTTTATGTCCTTGTAAACGTATGTATCTGCTAATCCTTACCTATCCTCACGGCTTGTTGAATCCAGTTCAATAAGTGGTGAGTGGTGGAGGACAGAAAACCTTTTCAGGATTCCCACAGTGGGGAAGCCAAAAAATGAGCTGCTTTTATTAGGCAGCAGAGGATCTACATGTACCTATAAATGCCCTAAAAAGGGAAAAGCTTCAGTCATAGTTTGCAATCAATAATGACACTAAATTCACAGGAAACCAAACTTTTATTAGTTTATGATGCTTTTTTTTTTCCTTTACAAAGCCTTCTTGTACTTAAAGCTGGGAAGTGCTGCTATACTGTGAGCTTGTTTCTGTAGGAACACAGCTCTGTTGCTACTACCTATGCTCTGGAGCTTCTCGCTTCTCTAACTGGAAGGTTTTGGGCGCTTTCTTATTTTTTTCAGAAGTCATGGCAATACAAGGTACAAATAATTTTTTTGAGCAGCTTAAAAGAGCCAGACAAGGAGGAAGGATGTCAAAACAGATTTTGACCTTGAAGAGCCAGCTGAACCAATTGAAACACACAGCTCCACAAGACTGCTATTGATCTTGCCTGGATGCTGCTGTATCTTCTAGCAATGATGTGAGTGATAAACAAGTGGATACCTTACTATGTCACACTAATTTTCCTCTTGCCAAGGTTCTTCCCTATTAGGTGTCCAGCGGCTAACATTTTTTTCACCTTAAAATTGTATATAGCAGGTCCACGTAGCCTTCTCTGTTGTTGTGATTCTCTGATTGAAAGCAGAAAAAAAATATAGCAAGTCTGTGCTGGTTCAGATCAGTAACTAAATGCATAGTTCCTTAAACCTTGCAGTTCTCCCACTGCAAAGTTTTAATGCTTTTGTAGCAATGCATTCACAGATCTAAATGTGTCTCACTCCTGTCAAACTAGAAGCCAGTATTTTACAGAAATATTTTTTCTTGGACAAAAAAATGTGCTCTTCTGCTCCTCACATTTTTCTTTGTTCCCTTCATACAAAATCTTTGCAGCCCACAAATAGCAAGTAGAGTAATCTCTCTCTCAGGTAAGAGCTTTCTTTTGTCCATTCACTTCTTGTCAGTACACTATTCGTTATCTTCTCTCTGTTTTTCTGTAACTCTAATTTTTACCAGGACCTGTGTGCCTCATGCTCAGACTAGTCCAGAAATCATAAAGTTAATTAGAACAATGGGACACCCAGATTACATTTTCAGAGCAGTAAAGTCTCACTGAGCTCAGGTCATATGACACCTGGCTATCTTTCTATAGCGCTCCTAAAAGAAAAAACACCTTCTACCCCTAAACCACAATTTCTAGTACCAATATCCAAAGATTGGACCAGTAGCTGGGTGGAATCCCAGAGTTGTATTTTAGTGAAGTCAAGGAAGATTGTTGAGAACGGGAAAAAATCTGAAATCTCTGACACTCCCTCCTTTAAGAGCAAAACGGAACATTTACAGCAAATAAATTTGAAGAAATCAGTTTGAATCCCCCATGACTCCCAAATGCCCTACACTTTATTCTTGCTTTCCTCTACTC